ATACATACATACATACATACATACACACACACTATTTTACTTATAACAATAACACGATTAAAATATTAATTATTAAGGACATAAATTATTGTGAAAGCAACAAATTTAGCTACAAAATAGGGTAATAGGAGAGTAACAAAATAAATTAATTAGCTAATATTATGTACTAAAGAAAACATACAGTTGAATATTTATATAATACTGCCCAAGTTGTTGGTTTCAGTGATTGTTTTTCTATTAAAGCCATTCACATCTTTGGTGCACAGAAAAACATGTTAATCTTGATAAATTTTACGCATTAAACCTCTCTTTTTAATTAAAATTATCATAGATCTTAACAAGAACTCGTGTTTCTATCTTGGTCTAGCTTGAAATTTATATATCATAAACAATAAGTTTATATCCAAATGCTATATAATTGCATACACTGATTATTTTTAAATGCAAAATGGCTGCTTCTAAGTACTATACATCTTCGAACACTGCACAAACAAACCAACAACAGGGCAGATCAAATTGAACAATATATTTTTGACAAGTTACAATAATACAAATACAAAACGTTACATGCTCTGTTTTGTGCGAATGATTCTTCTCCTGTGTTGATCATTAGTAAAGCTAGAAGAACCATACTGCGAGCGCATTGTTTACGCACTAGTTGAACGTTACAGAGATTGCCTGTTCCTTCGCTTTTTTGCGAGATTAATCGTGATTTAAGAGAGAAAGAAATAACGGAAGGAAAAATAAGAGATAACTAGGCAGATTGAGGGTTCCCTAACGTCAAGGAAGAATTATCTGCACACTCCAGAAGGCAAAAAAACATACACATAATCATTAGATTACTGTACAATAAATAAATTACGTAAAATAGTAATATGTAATATCTACAAACAAATTTGCTGAACACATTTATATTACAATTTATAAACTAAAGATACTTGCTATAAAAAAAACAAAACCTGTATCACACCTTTAATCACTCGTAGTTTTGATATACGACTAATTGCATTTGTTATTTAGATAGTAGCAGTATAAAATTCCAACCGACAAGAGCACTCTTGCCTGGAAAGAAAAACAAAAGATTTGTTGTATTCTCATTCTAGAATGTGTTCTTGTTTGCAATAATGCATGCTCAATGTTCTGAGAAACAGGAGATGCCACTGTTTTTGTTTTTACTTTCTACTATTGCTGCTATCGCTGGTTTCATCACCTCCCATTTGGGAAGTGTCTCATTACTCAAATATGTTTCTTTTATTCTGCAAACGTGAACACATTGTTTATAGTGATCCGATTTTCATCATGTCTCGTGTTGTTGCGATTATTATGTAAACATACGCTCTTTGAAATATTCATATTATTGTCCTCTATAGTGTTGCAAAACTGCTCAGATTCGAAGCAAAACTGCTCGAGGGATTCCCTTCGAATTATCATAGCCAGATCTGTTTTTTTTTTCTTTGACGTGATAAATATGCATTCTTGATCAGACTGAAATCAACATGTACACACATACACCCACAATGTTTGAACACCATATACTGATATCTAAGCATTTTTGTATTAAATACGAGGTAGCAAATGGCTGTACAACTGTGATTATGTGTAATAACAATTTCTCTACTTAGATCTTATCATTCGGTATGTCAGTATGTACGAAGATTTAAAAACTATTTTACATACGAAGAAAAAAAACGTACAAGGCTGTAACCTTTCAATTGTGCGATTACACATTTGAGAAGGATATTCGATATACACCCCACGAACGTTTTAATTATGGCGATATTGAACAAGTGTAAACCTAAGGAAGAAAACAAACTGGACATTTTATTGTAAAGTACAGCAAGCCCATACAACTTTTGAATAACGCTAAAAATCACACGCTGGAACAAATCTGTAAGAATATCGTGAAGGTATTTGAATAACAGAGAAATTAGTTCATTTACATTATTTTGACATGTTTATTTTTTTGCGGCAACTCTCTGTATTCTACATTTCGTTTTTCTTGTAGTTTATTCTTCATCTTGTAGAAACAATATTTGTAATTCAATTTCAAAATCAGCGTCCGGACGAACACACGGAAGATTTCGAAAATTTATTAAACGAGATAAAATTGTCCGATTGTTATATGTCGTATGAATTTTCTTGAAGAACGTATCAGTCATTTGCATCCTCATATTTCAACATCGATGCCTTGTGTCAAAATAATGTTCTGTCCGAGAATTCAATCACGAGTTCTTACAATTGTTTTTCAAGGAGGAGAACATTAATGATTCGTTTCATTCAGCATTGATCAGATTTGAGCACATTGACGTGAGAAAAATATGCATGCAGAGACATAAAAAAGCAATAGTTACATGCACAAAATACAATCTGTAAACAGAGTGCCATTTTTAACAAATTTATGAAAGTAATAAAGTTACGTTACGTTTTTGAGCGAGAAGTGAGTGTGATCTGTTAATGTTTCTAATTTCTATGAATAATTCTGCATCACTGGATACACGACGGAGGTCCAACTAATGTTTAGCTGTATTTTTTCTCTTTTTTTTTTTTTTTTCTTGATCTCGTAAAGATATAATGTCAACGCGCGCAAGGCTTATCACATTGTTGGAGGAGCTAATGTTCATAGGAACTAATAACTATTAACACGTGAATTCCTAAAACAACGTTGATTTAATTCTGAATTTGTAAATTAGTAACTAATGTTGAAAGCAAATTCAGAATCTACCGCTTCGGGCAAGTTTTAATGTTACAAAGGATAAGGAAAAACAATACAATATTGCATGTTCGTAGAATGGTGAACCAACGAAGCTGTTGTTCCAATTTGCATTCAACCGAGATCGAATGTACCTTAATATTTTAAGTTGTAATAATTTATGGTGAACAAGTCCTGAAGCGAGTCTTGTAAAACTTGATCAAAGAAGCTTTATATTGGTATCGACGTCGATTTCCCCCCATTTAGGTGTGCAGGATTATATAGAAAATACGTGTCCGTTAAAATATTTTAATATTTTTGCAATATTACAACACCGTCTTCCGGTACAATAATATTTGCATAGCCTAAAGTGCAGTAGTAAACAATTCTGAAATATTACGAAGAGACAAAAGAAAATATTTGTAAATTCTATAGTTAAGCTTGTCATTGTATAGTCGTCATTCTTTTTACAGTGCAAAGAAATTTAGAAATATTTAACATAGAGAAACAGAGCAAAAAGTGGTATATTCGTATTATGTAAAGCATGTACATTGCGATAATAAATATTTTACATAAATTAAACACTGTTGTACGAACGAAAAACGAAAGTTTCATCCGAAATACGAATGACTCCGCTCTCTTTTTTTTTTTTTTTTTTAATTTTAAATACAAATCTAAAATGTGAGAACGTCGCTCGTACAACATATTCGCAGGGTGAACCATATTTGGTATAGTATTCGAAATTGAAAGACGACTTAGCCGTAATCTTCGTAGAGAACAAAATAATTGTATTTCGTCTATTTCTATCATCAGGTATATTCTTTTAATGTAACGTTTTGTGTATCATATCGTTTGTAAAGAGAACTATGCGAATGAAGTGAATCGGAAATTAAGGAACAGGTATTTGAAATGTCATCAGGAAGTAAGTGTTTGTGGTCACCCTGACAAAAGCAAGTAGCAAATGATTGAAAGAACATTTGCAAGATAATAATGATAGACTATACGAAAAATTTTATGGATATTTAAGATTGTTCTCTGGTTGTGGTGGTTACTTCTGTACACGCATTTTATACAGTTATCGTGATTTTGTATGTTCTGAACTCGTATCGTTATTAGTTTTCCCTGGATTTGAATTATATACATGCATTGAAGTTGTAGTAATTCAGGTACACCAGAGTTTTACCAAAGACGGGCAAACACGTATAGTGAAACAAATTTTGATAATGTAATTCGTGTCCCACATCCTATAATTTAACACAATCATTGAAAGCATAACAAAGTAACTAATGTTTCAAATAATACCCGTCTCTGTGTAGTAACAAAAAGAAAATTGCGATATTTCTTGATAGCAAAAAAAAAGAAAAATTTTCAATGGAAGTATGAAAACAACCAGAAACATAATTTTAACATGATGACTGTGTAGTATTATGATTAATCGTATACCAAGCAACTTGTACAACATAGAACTTTAATGTAGCGTTTCGTGTTATAGATCAATTTTTATAAAAGTCAAATGGATCTCTTGTTCGATTTGGAAAAAAATCATTGATCTTGAAAATATCTTGCTGTTTGTTTGTACGTTCTATAATCTATAAAAAAAACCATTTGAAATTTGAAGTACTCTTCAATTAATAATCAATATTTGCAAATTATGAGTGTGATTAATTACGGGTTCAATACATGTATAATCATTCAAAGTAAATAGAAATACATTTCACACTTGTAATTTGTAACTGTATAAAAGAAAACGGTAAACATTCAGTTGTTTTTCAATTAATAATTGTGCAACTAATAATGGATTGTGGTCCATATGATCAGGTCGAACGGTAAACAATCTATTTGTAGGGTGTTAACAATGTTTGGTATTCAGTTAACAAAAAGAAATGTTTAGTGTTATATATCTTGTACGTCATTTAGGATGTCAGGCAATACCTTAAAGACGTTGCATAACGAATATGTTTTGTACTCGTTCTAATAATTCTATTATATATTAAAATTACGTTTATGTGTTTAGTGTTTAATATTATGTGCAAAATTGCCAGACCGGTTGTTCATCACTTTTCTGCAAACAAGAACACCAATAGGTACAGATAAACAGCTGCGTACACACGCTTTTGTTTTTTTTTTTTATTACATTGCTGGTACGTTTGACTTATGTATAACATTTTAATTTATTTTCTTCGGTATATCAATTTTAAGAGCATTCTTCTGTCAATTGTCAAATCGAATCTAGAATTTTAATTGAAGTTATAAGGCAATATATGTGTTGTATATCATTTTACGTTAACACGTAATGCTTTAAAGTGGAACAAAGGTTTTTAATCAAACAGATTCGCTATATGTAAAAAGAATACAATTTTTTTTTTTTCAATTTTAATACTATAGTGTTGTACAGTGTAGTGCAATGCAACATTGACATTCCAAATGAGGATTTTTCACAAAGTACAAAAGTAATATGGGCTTGCGATTTAATCTGCGTGTCCTGTCAAAAATTACGTCATTACTCGCAAACCAATATTAGTGTTTGCACAACGTTCGAACAAATTTTCATATCTGGTCGCATACTGAAAGAAAGATTATAATGAAACGTAATAAAAGGAATGGAGGAAGAACTTTTCATTGTCATGAAAAATTGTAGCGGATTCTAATGAATGTCAGTACAAATTGAATAATAAAAGAAGAACGAAAAGCAGTATTTGTGTGCAACTGAGAAAGAAAATATTAACGACCCGTATTTTTGGCAATACAATTTTAAATAATTAAATTAGCGTAACAGTAGCTAGAATGTTAGTAAAATAAATTTTGTTCCGATATTTTCTTGATGACTGAAAGTTTATACATACATATATACATAAATATATGTACGTTAATAATAATAATAAAAACGACGACGATGATACAAGGATAATAATTGTCTCATGGCGTAATTTGTATAACGAACGTTCATTATTGCTTCTTGTGCTATTATTAGGTAGTGGATTATAAAGATTGATATTGTAAATCAATAAAATTGATTATTTGAAAAATAAACTACGTTAGATAACTTGTGTATCCTGAAGTTAGCAAATTAACACTTTTTGTTTTTTTATCATTAATAAATATTCTGTATGCATATGTCCAAATAGTAGTGATGGTTCAAGTATTAAATCTATAATTAAGTTTTTACATTGCTATCTGTTATCTTTTCCTCATTTTTCAATTTTTTTTCAGCCAAGTTAACCTTACCTAGCTCGCAATACAGTACTAACGAACTATATACAGCATTTTAACAATTCGTATATACATGTACAAACTAAGTATACAATTAACTACAATGTATGTTACAGTATTGTTATTTATTTACTTTCAAAGCAAAATTGCAAATTAAATTATGAATTTTCTGCACCGAGTTCTGTGTCGTCTTCTAATTGGAGTTAAAGTTATCAGGTAGGTGTACGAATACCATATGTTCTTTTTCTATACAAAATTCGATAATATTTAAAAATTCCCATTAATAAAATGCTTTTATTTTAGTATCTGCTGCTTCTACATCGACGACCTACTTATACTGTAAATGTCATTTTACGTCGCAAAATTTGTACGAGCTGACAATACGTAAATGAAACATTTACGCCTCAAATATTAAGCTTTTAATTCGCTATATCATTATTTACGCTTATAAAGTAACGCTATTATACTAATCCAAATATATACATGAATCGCATATGCAATATGTTAGTGTTAACTTCAAGGCGTATTTTATCGATCAGCATTGTCAATCTGCGTAATGGTTTCTTTTTATTGTTTCGAAAAAGGAAAACATATATCCATCATGTACATATACTCTGTATAATTGGCCAGCAAAGTTGAGACAGCCAAATCGTTGTATCTTATTAAAATAATTGTAAACTTGTACATTTCATAACAAACACATTGATTCGTCGAAATCGGACTAATAGGAATCGGTGTTATGGAACAACGACCAATCATGTGACGTGTATCTGACCACAGTGCTGTCGTCTATCTTTTGTAGAACCAAACTGCGTTTCTGTACAAACGCTACTGACATCAGTTCATACCGTCAACGGCGAAGCAGATTTTGCAAGAAGTGATTCTGTCCGAAAACTGTTGAATATTAGGTGCGTTTAACTGTTCCTTGCAATTGAATAAGTATAAAACATATTAACTTCGATATTACCTTGTACCAGTTACTAATAATTTCATTTATTTTAAAGAAAAGTGTAATAGTTCTCGCAGTGTACAGTATTCGTATGCATATCGGTGTTACATGCACGCTATCCACCATTTTGTTTATTGTGTCCACTTTTGGAGGGAAACTACAACATATTTTATACTGACATTAATTCACCATAAATTCGTCGATTCAGTGCATTTTTGAACACGTGCGCGTTTAATTTAAAAACTGCAATATTCCTCTACTCATATGTCGAAACTGTGATTTATTTATCTTTCCTGTAACTATCACTTTAAAGTTGATGTCCTTATAGAAATGTGATAATGGATTTTTATAGATATGGCGCGTACCAAGCAAACTGCTCGTAAATCAACGGGAGGTAAAGCTCCCAGGAAACAACTCGCGACGAAAGCTGCGCGTAAAAGCGCACCTTCTACCGGTGGTGTAAAAAAACCCCATCGTTACAGGTAAAAATATCTCGATTGCTTTGACATATAATATTGTGACCCAACACTGGGTGAAGTATTCGTGGAATTCTAATGATTTTACTTATATTTTAGGCCTGGTACGGTAGCGCTCAGAGAAATCCGAAGATATCAGAAGTCTACTGAATTGCTGATCAGAAAGTTACCATTCCAGCGTTTAGTTCGTGAAATTGCACAAGATTTCAAGACTGACTTGCGTTTCCAGAGTGCTGCTATCGGAGCTCTCCAAGAAGCTTCGGAAGCTTACTTGGTTGGGCTGTTTGAAGATACCAATTTGTGCGCTATCCATGCCAAGCGTGTGACAATCATGCCTAAAGATATACAGCTCGCGAGACGAATTCGTGGCGAACGTGCTTAAACATTTTCATTACCCGAAATCCTTAAATATTTCTGTAATCGAATTCATTTTTTGTTGTCACATTCGTGGATACTTTTCATCGCTATTAAATTCAATGCAATCGCGTCGTTTTCATGAATCATTATTGCAATTGACACTGCCAAGTCTTTTGGAGGATAAGATGCAGGAGACAAAGTATATCTAATAATTATATTGAGTAGGATAGTCGAATATGTTTATGATTTATTGCTAGGAGAATATAAAGAAGGCACAAAGTGAAATATGTAGTTCATAGCCAGGTAGTAAAAACACTTTGGATAATTAATATTTCATCTTCGTGTATTACTGTAAGTGAAATGGATGACGGAAGCAGTTCAGCATGTAGAGATAATATTTTAGCAAAAACAGCTTGTTATACTCACCATTTAGTTTCTTCTGCAAGTAACCCCTGTTACCGAAAGGACTTGTTTTACAATATATTGAATCTTTACTGTATTGTAGAATAATTTTTGTGTACAAGTAGATGTATTTAATGATGTAACACTTTATGATATTAGCTGTAGTAAATGGATACGTTATCAAATTATGTACTAAGAATACTTACGTTATAGACTTACGTTATTAGTTGTATTTACATTATCGAAGTATCGAAATTTGTTTGCATTTACACCTCAGCTCTCAGCTCATTCAAATTAAGAAATCTGTGACCATGAAATTATACGTCATTCTCGATTAATGTATCATTACTTTAACACCTAACGATAAGTGTAACGAATAATTCACAATAACGTTAAATTAATGTGTAAAAGTTTTTAATAAATATAACTTCAATTGTCTCCTTAGCAGAAACTGCTCCTGGTCTCTTAAATATTTAAAAAAAGAAAATTGGAATTAAAACACCAGGCATTTTAGCTTGTATTACAATTTTATTTCTTAACTAAGTATTCATTATCAGGGTAAAAATCCCGTACGGAACAATAAATATTGAAGGTAATAATAAATTCTTATAATCAATTATTATTCAGTTATTTTCTATTGCAAGTAGTTCATTGAATAATGTTATTCTTGGAATCGCATTAATTACGTATTTTGAAATCCTGGAAATTCACTTAGTCATATAACTGGCATAGAAATAGGAACGGATAGTTTACTAATGTAAAGTGTTACTTTGTATCACAAATGCGTATGTATGTATTTACATCACTGATAACAATCTGCTTACAACTGCATACCATACATGTCTATAGAACCTGTTTCGAGTTGTAATTCAAATTAAGTCGCAATTTTTAAATTACTCATACGCCTAAACAATTTTCGTATTGCGTTATTTACGTTACAAAAATTTCACTTATAAACACACGTGTGTAATATTTATACATGTGTACGCTCGAAACAGACAATGGCGTCTCCTTTTTTCCAAACGAAAAGCACGATAGAATAATTTCTCCTGGAAACGGTAGAAGTTCATAGGAAATTCAAATCATACTTTCGACAAAGATCGCTGAAAAAATCCGCTATTTCGTTAGACACGGAAAATTTAAGATGGCATGTACTTTGTGGCGCGCGCTCTATGGCTCAAGTATATTTTCTGGAACTTTCCACGAAATGATCGATTTCATTGCAGATAAAATTGCACAAAATCGTCGTGTCGTTTCTCCGTGTACAGAGTAGCAAGAAAATATAAAAGCCAGCATTAATTACAGTAGAAATTGCCATCGATATCCTTCGATTCCGATCGTAAATGGTTCCCTTATTTACTCGTTATCGATCGAAGCATTTTCGACAACAATGGAAAGGCAATTGCTGCAAGTAAAACGAGGTTGCCGAGAGAGTAGTATCATGTATATTACAATTGACAGGGTTCTTCTCAGCTTGACTTCTAGGCGTAGGAGGCTGAACCAATCGCGTGTCCCACGCTGCGAGTTCAGGCTGCTATCTCGACATCCGATTGGATGCACCGCACCGCGGGCTTACGTGCCTCTCGCGATTTAATTTCTAGGGGGTAGGGACAAGGGAGTCGTGACTTCGGAGAGCGTCCACTGCCATCGAAGTACAAGGAAACGGATAGTACTGGCTCTCGTTTGTCGTGAAATTTTTCCCTCGAGAGGTACGTAAATCCGTTGAAATTGGACGTCATCCTCGGTCACGTGTAATTACCAGTGTTCACGGATACGGGGCGAATGTGGGTGTGCGTCGAGGAAAATGAAAAGTGCTGGAAAATTCGAGTTTTCACGTCGGAACGCAACGTACTGTCGTGTTGCCTCCATTTTGCAATTGACGTTCGCGGAGGGAATCGTTTACGGGCCTCTCTCGTGGCTGGACGCTTGCCGCTTCTCTCGCGACGTGTGTCATTCGTTCGGATCTGTCTGTCGATCGATGATATCGCCGATAAAAGAACGATCCAGGGATATAAGAACCGTGCGAATTAGAATGATGGATTTTTCGTGTCAGCACGGCTTTTTTTTTTCGCGTCGATGCAGGAGGAACGAAAGTTTGTGCATTGCGCAATGCGCAGCGTTCCTCGGTGCGCGTTCCTCCGTACGAACAGGAACGGACTGTACCCCCACCCCTGTATCCCCACCTCTTTTCATCCCTACTCCAGCTGCTGTTTCGTTTACACTCCACATATCGAAGCATGTTCTTCAAAATAAGATTCCCGCGTTTCGTGAATCGATCGTTTGCGTTTATTTATTGGTTTAGTTTAGTAATGTAATAGAATGAAAAGTATAGAAACGAAAAACGGGCAACTATCAGACCATAGTGAATCTGTTTATGTTATTTCTGTTGGTATTTTGTAAAACTGTCGAGTCCATTTTAAAAAAACGTCCCCAAACGCTTTTACACACTTCAGGTGTATTCAATGAATTATTGTTGATATTAACTTTTGAAAATACTTCTCACTAATTGTGTTCGCATTGTTTCAGTTTAAACTATGGCACGTACCAAGCAAACTGCACGTAAATCAACTGGAGGTAAAGCACCTCGTAAACAGCTTGCCACAAAGGCGGCACGTAAGAGTGCACCTTCTACCGGTGGTGTGAAAAAACCACATCGATATAGGTGAGTTATTTATGAAACATAGATTGCATAGAACAGGGCTGATGTACTTTTTTTTCCATTGGGAGCTGTACAATTTCCATTATTATACTTGTTATAAGAACAAGATAAAGATGTTGCGGTCAAATAGGTGTGGAGGGTATAGCTCTCCTATATTGAGCAGGCAAGTGGGTGAAGGAACTGTACTTGACCCATGGGTTGCCAGTTCATCAGCCCTGGCATAGAACATTGCAAATACAGTATCATTTAACGGTAAAATTCATGAAACATATTTGGTATCTTTAGGCCTGGTACTGTGGCTCTTCGAGAAATCAGAAGATATCAGAAGTCGACCGAGTTGCTGATCAGAAAGTTACCCTTCCAGCGACTGGTTCGTGAAATTGCACAGGATTTCAAGACCGACTTGCGTTTCCAAAGTGCTGCGATTGGGGCCTTACAGGAAGCATCCGAAGCATACTTGGTCGGTCTGTTTGAAGATACCAACTTGTGCGCCATCCATGCCAAGCGTGTAACAATCATGCCCAAGGATATCCAGCTGGCCCGGCGAATCCGTGGCGAGCGTGCTTAAATAATATGTAACTCCCGTACATACCATTTACTACTACTATTATTATTATTAATTATTATCATTCATAACAATCCTGGATTGAGCATTTTCATTCCAGACTACGTATTATGTTGTACTCTAGAAAAGTGTACAAGTTCATCCTTTACAACAGGTACATAGAACTTGAAGCTCTTATAGATCAATGTTATGAACTACTTTTGGTACATTGGTAGTTTTTGCTTTTGCAAAAAGAAAAAAAAGTCGGTTACAAAAGGTAATTCTTTTATCTCTTCGTTTAATTTATACGTTCTAATATTCTACACTATGTCTACAAAGTAAAAGTACGTGGTAAAGATAAAAAGTGAAACAGACGCATAAAAATAATCTTGATGGAAGACAAGAAAAATCTTCTGCAAGTACTGTTAAGAATAAAAAAAAAGGGCAACTTAAGTTTCTCATAGAGACCAAGTTTTATTTGACATTATTACAACACATAATACCATCATTATCATTATTGGTACAATACATAGCAAAACTATGCATTAGAAAGTAAGACAGTTTCTTTATAGAGATCCAATGTAGTGTTTAATATGCTAGAATTCTGGTTGTATGAACATTACATAAGATGTTTCAATCAGCCAAGTACTCATTGTTCGTGTAAAGATAAACGTTTCATAAATAAATCTTCAAAATAAGATTAACTTACCTTTTTCTCTTATAGGTAAAATTCTTCTTTCCATGCGTTAGTCTGTAGTATGAACTTCAAGGATTTCAATACAAGTAACTTGAAGGCTGTTTATAATATCTTTATTTTACAAATATTTGAATTTACTTTTACAAATTTTATGTTACAAATAATCAGCAAATTGCTATTATTTGGATTTTAGCATCGTTCAAAAATCCAGTTCACGATCAGTTTGGTATTAACGATACGACTGCAGCTTCGTGTGAGTAACTTTTATTTTTATACATTAAGCGAACTCTAGTAAGAATCGATTATTTTCTTATTAGGTAATACATTTTAATTAACAGTGTTAATATGTTTCCTATTTTGTATAAATACTTAGAGATCTGAAGCTATTTAAAATTATGCGAGTGGCGTAGAAGCACACAGTTTATGTTAAAATATATAGTTCAAGTAACTTTTACACATGTTCCGAAGTATAAAATTGAATTGCTTCACGACGCAGAAGAAAATTCGTTTGTTATTAAAAATAGACATGTACCTAACTTACTCTCTAAAAGCTGAATTTGCACTAGACGTTACAACATATTGTTTCTAAATCGTGGCAAAACGGTTAATTGTGCTAGAACTATATACTAAAATAAGGGCTCACAAATTCATTAATGTAATATCATTTGTGAATATCTACAGAACGATAACGTAAATCCACTACGTGTCTACAATTATCACGTTATCAATTTTATACTTACAAATTAAATATTTACAAAATCCGTTCGCACCGTTGCCAGGCATACTTGTAAATCGCGACGAAAGTAAACAATGAGTAATTTCTAAAACTTGTTTTTTTTTCACGCAACGGTAATTAAATAATTATTAGAGATAAATAATAAATATTGCGATAAAAGTACTAACTTTCATTCTACCATAAATTCGAAATAAATTATTAACTGAGATTGAATAAAACTTAAACGAATTAATGGGCATAAAAGAGCGACGCGCATGAAGTAAATATGTATTGTTGGAATACTATTCGTTGTTTATAATCGAATGTGGTTGCTGTTGCCAGAGGCAAAGCCTCGTACCTGCCGTCTAGTCCTAATTAAAAAAACCGAATATACTTTCGTTACCATCTTATCACTGACAGGTGTGGTTTATGATAGTGTTGAATACATATTAAATTTGACCAGCGTTTCCCAATCGTTGTCAGAATGTTTACTTGCACGCAGTCCACTGTTTTTTTTTTTAACGATATGCATATACGCAGTTGTCTAAAATGTTTGCCGTCCCGGTTGTTACGTTGTCTAATGGTTTAAAGTTTAGACTGTACACACCAGTAGCGTTGAAACCACAGTAGAAGATTGAGAAATGCTGTACATGTTTATGGATCGTGCATAGACTGTACATAATGCATGCTGGGACGGGCAAAAGAACGCTTGAAGATTTGCAATTCATAATACTTTGCTTCTTCAAGGTAAATCTTATTTGCATTAAACAATTAATATTAAATACATGATCCACGCGAAAGTGTGTCAAAATACGAGTTCTATATTGTGATTTCGATTACGTTCAAGCAGTCTGATACCACAAATATCGTAGTAAGATTTATTGTATACACTGAGTGAACATTAGTCACAGAAGATATAAAAGTGACATATACATTTCATGCAGGGAGAATATTATAAATTGCAGCAACTGACGTTGCATTGAATGTTGATCCCGTTGATGCTATGTATGATTTGATTTTTAATAGCATATTACTATCAGAACTCGCGAATTAATGTACAGGTGAGAATCTACCGAGGCAAATCAATTTGAAGCACGAGAGATCGACATTCACTGGTCAAACATAGATTGAGCCATAATTTCTTTTAAAAATAATTGAGATATATTCAAGCTATCAGTACTGTTAAGACATTTTTGTGAATGATAACCACTGGTATTACTCGAATATCTTAATATATGTGTATATAAGCTTAATATCAAATTATGCATCTATTAATGCCATTACACAAGCCATTACTCTGAATATGCATATGATAATGTTATTTACAAATGTGTACACTTTACATTACTCTCTATTTAGATTTCCTAATTTGTTACTGAGTTCGTTATACCTAAAATTATGAACTTTTAGTATATCATAGTACCTTGCTGGCTCAATCTAATATTCACAAAAGCTTTTCACAGTAACATAACCATATTAAATTATATGTGAACGGTAAAACATATTTTGTAAAAAACGTTACTTCGATTTTGATAAAGTTAGGTAACTGCAGTTACTTGACTTAAACTGTAAAATACAGTAAGCCTTCGGAAAAAATAATAATAATTAACTTAACGAACAAATGGAACGGTCGACAAAACATTAATCTATGTCAAAAGTCTCAATAATTCTTTCCAACGAAATCATCGATAACTGTACTTGTGAAGAATTCAATAATTTAACCGAGGAACATGAAAATAAATATGTTCATTAGTAAAAGTACTAATTATTAGATAGTATATCAAATAGATTAGTGAAATCTAAAGTGTTTGAAACTTCGTTTCCGTGATTTCTTCAATTATTAAGACCTTATCAGACACTATGAAACTAAGAGCAACATTTTTATATCACAAAGAAAAATTGGGTAGTTAAATGCAATTCTATTTACCTACACCTATATGACAATGCAGTAATCGAAGAAGTACGACTATGAAAGTATTAAGAGACATCGAAGAGAGATATTAAAGAAATTAATATAAAATCTGGAAACTTTAACTTATTTTCTATTGTGGTACCGATTAATTTTGATCGCTTTATCTCAGGGTTGTATTAACAAACAAGGACGCAAACACGCCTTATATACTTCGGACAATATAAAAATTAGGATGCACTGCCTAAATTAATAGCGCAAGCGATAAGACGTCTATACAGAATGCAATGCAGTCTTATTAAATATTTTGAACTTTCAGAGACTAAAACGCCTAATGAAATGGGATCGCGAGGAGCCATTAATTATCCACAAATTCATATTTTTAACATCCACAGGAAGCACTACATACGTGAAAGAGGATAAACATGGAACTAAATAAGTACAATTCATTTAGCAATTATCATGTATCACGGTATACACAAATTTATCAAGAACCCCTTCACTGAAGGGATTCATTGTACGAAAAATCATTTATCAATTCCTTGAGCAATTGATTCTTAATAATTCATTTCAAAAAAAAGAAACATTAAAACCCGACTGTTGATACATGATATTCATTTACCACTAGTACACGCAGTGCACACGGATAATGGAACAATGATGTAATGTTTCAATATTATAATGTTGCTCTAATGTTACCTGTAGAGATCACGGACGGTTTGATCCTCTCGAGATGGATTTTGACAGGTGTTTAGCTTGTTCTCCAATGCCTGCATTTATTAAACAACCAGTGTTAATTTATCATCATTTTATGGATTAAGCTATTGTTTATTGGTCGATACTTGTATGCTTTGAACAGAAGCTAGATGCAAAATCTACATTTTGATGTTACCACTTACACGTAGGACAATTAGGCAGGATAGAGGGAAGCACAGTGTGTTCAAAACAAAAGAACGAAATATAAAGCAAAAAAGAATTCAAATAAAGACCTGTGTCATAAGAATGTGGAAAATAATTTAGCGGTGAGGTATGATGGAGGCTTGGTCAGCACTTGGTCGGTCTAGGTTGTTGTCGTATACATTGTGTAGGTGTATGAGCCTGGACGGATGGTAAATCAGTAGGTGTAGCAGACATTGTTTTTTTCCCACCCGGACAAGTGCACTTTACCCTCCTACACTCCATGCAGACCCACCTGTCAAGCTACCAAAACACCGGCTACATCACGCTACCAATATATTGTAGACTAATATATAATACTTTTCATGTACTATCAATGTATGTGTATCCAAGGGTCAAAAGTAATTGAAAATAATCATGGTAGAAGGAGAAAACAAAATTCGTGCCAAGTGCTACAGTTGCCTAGTACCAAGAATACTGTTTACGGCAACTGAAAGAAACTTTGAAAATTTACAGGTACACAAGCCATGCTCCAAGCTATCTTTCACTTATGTACAAATTTACTGAACGTGTATAAAATCAACGACAATACGAAATAAAAGGGATACTTACTCCGACTTTCCTCATCAGGTCACCAATCATATTCATCGCTAATATTCTTGTGCACGGTGTCAACGGTGGATTCACGTTATTATTGTTATTGTTGTTCCCAGTTACACCCCCTACCACTCTGTTTCCAACTAATTGCAAACAGGAGAAAACACAACATTACTACTGGCTGTATAGTAGTAAAATATCAGACTTAGAAAAAATCAAGCTACTTAACTGTGTGATACTTTCGTATAAATAAATAATAAAAAAAAATAGTTACATGCAAGTCAGATGCATAATATAATTTTGAGAAACTAAAATAAAGAACCAGTTTGTTAAAATAATTTTTATTTCGTTATTGACAATATCATATATGTATATATATACGTGTATATACAGACAGTGAAAGATAGAATTCATTAAAGCACACAGAAGTATGTTAATGAAGCGTGAAAGTCAGATCGAGCAATTAGTCTTTGAAACTATTTATTACTGAAGAAAAAACTTCAGGTAACATACAAAAAAAAATATAAATTATAGTTAGATAAGGCAATGAAAACCAAACTTTACACCTATTTATTGCTCACGATTGTGTTTCGTTTGGGTAAACATTAGTAGCTTTCTCGTTGATCGTTGATTTTGATAATATTAAAAATCATCTTTTAGGTCCAAAGCAGAACATGCGTTTAGTTTTACGAAATGTGTTATGTATCTTACTTTTTAGTGGCGAAGTTGTATTACTTGGAGGTATGGATTGTTGTACTATTGGGGTAGTAGATGATACATGGGTTTCCAATTCAACTTGTAGCTTATTACTATCAACATGGTTACAAACTCTGTCGGCAGATTTATCATTATCTGGTTGATGCCTTTCTTGAACTTGAATCTCTTGCTTTAAGTCTGTAACAAGATGTACTATTAGAATCGTGTTATTCATTAATTTCTCAAATCACGACAATCATTTTCATTTCACCTCGAATTTCATCCATTAATCTCTGTACTAGAACTTTTAGACCTTCTTTTTCATCAAGTTCAGATTCCAGTAAAGCATTTTTCTCGATAGCTGAATTAAGTTTAGCTTCTATCTCCTCCTCTGTTACCCTATTTATCCTACAAAATTAAGTACGTGTTAATATTTCATTTTTCTTATGTCTCTGTGAGTTTGTCTATGTCAAAGATGCAAATATTCAAGTACTACCTGTGAGCTCTTTCTAAGTCATCATTTTTTTGTTCTAACTCCCTTATATACTTTAATAAATGATCGTGTTGTGCTTGTAAATCTTGAGCCTTTCCTTGAAACATTGCACAATCCGTTGTTTGCTGGTCTAATCTTGTTCTCAGCTGTTCCACTTCAGTGGCGAGTCTTGTATTTCGTTGCCTTAGATCTCTATTAGTTTTCTCTGCTTGCTCCAATGATGCTTCCAACTCTTTCTCTAACAATTGTGAATTTTCTTGAAACTCTTCCAATTCCCTTTCTGTATCTTCTTTCCTATAATTATAGGATAAAAGCTTCTATCTTCCAAAAAAGATTCTAATACAAAGTTTTCCAAAGTACTTAATGCTAATGTGTTCACGGTAACTTGTTCACTAAAGGCTCAACACCAGCCAATTTACCTTCTGTGTATTTGATGAGCAAGATCCATCCAATATCGAACTTCATCATCCTTGGACACAAAATGTGGAGGATCAATGTCCATCATTTTGCAGATATTTCTAACTCTATTGTTCAAGTTTTCAAGCTGCTGTATCAAATACAAATCACAATTACAATGTGATCTATTTTACCAATGATACATAGGCATCCTGAAAGCAAATCGAATGTGTATGTTCGCGAGATTCTGTACTGCTTGTTAATGTATTTCAATACAACAAATAGATTCTGCAAGTCCAATACAAAATTTCCGTGGAGTACGACTTTTATCATATACGTTGCGGAGAAAGTTTCAGTGCATCGATTAACCAAAAAAGTATTTGAAAAAAAAGAAAGAAAAATGTAATTACTTCGTGTACCGTATAAATTCATGGAAGAGTCGAACCAACCGTTGCTCTAACCTACTCCGCGGTAATGATACACTGATCAATAGTATAGGGTCAACGAAGGAATTAACGTGTTGTGAAATTTTCAGGGTAAGCAAAATCGTGAATGATACACTACTGTTACGCGTAGTGGGAACAAAATTGAACCTGATGTGTGAAAATATCGACGAAGCAACGGACTTACGTGGATCGTTGAAGAGCACACGCGAGGAAGCGACAAACGGTCCAGCATCAATTTTTCAGCCTCGGATCGAACCGAAACGAGACAGTGTCGCGTTTATCGGTGGGAATGCTGAATGAAACGATGCAAAAGCTCGTGTGGGCGCATCAAGTCCGAATCGTCTCAAAGATACATATAAATACGGAAGACCTTGGGAAATCGCTAGCAGGTGAAACGTAAAGCGAGTGTCGCGTGCGACACAAATGTCATTACCGTAGAATTATGAGTCACTGCTCAGTCGGGATGGTAAGGTAGAGAAAAAAAGAAGTGAGAAATCTACTCCCGTAGATTCCGCGTTTTGTCTATGGCAAGGATCAGCTTGGAACCATTCGTTCGATCAGTAATCGGCCGATCGTAAACCGTACACGCGCAATCGATTAACATTCGATGTTTCTCTTTCAATACAGAAACTCGAATGAAAGACCCGCGCCTGTTTGCCGATTGCAAAATGGCAGATACAAATAAACCGTATCTCTCTCTCTCCTACTCTTTCTTTCTTTCTCTCTGTATTCGATCACTGTGCTACGGCGTAGTAAGGTGGCGTTCAAGAACCAACTGGTTACCCGCGTATCATACTGAATGTGCTGTGAAAGGAATGTTCGGAAACTTTACAATATTTTAGAGTAAATATATTTATCGTGTGATCAATTTTCTTATAAACTGTGGGTTGGTTAAGGTAAAACGTCAAACGTCTTCCTCCGAATGGCCATTGGATTTGGCTGTAATTATTGTAGTTATCATACTTAATAACTACCGAAGACTAGTTGGCGCGGAATATTAGTATTTCTTAACAATTTTTATCTTAAAAGGTGCGCGGACAGATGCGTGAAAATTGAACGCACTGGAAACTTGAGCGCGCCAAAAATGTTTTCTCGATTAATTTATTATATCTAACAACGTAATTGTTGTAATAATAACCTTTCTGGGGGATACTGTTAAACAATCTGTCAGCTGTTTTATAATGCAAATTGTTATTGTTTATAACAAATACGAATCGAGATACACAGAAACTTGTAAGGTATCGATTGTTTAGTGAAATGTTACATGTAATTACTTTTACTTTATTGCAAACTATTTATGGTAATTGTTAACTAAATATTATTTAATTTAAATCTGTCTTGTTAGAGTTTTATGCGACAAATTCGTCAAAATTAGTCGAAAATGGGAATTGTTCGATCGACGGTTAACTGTTTTTATCCTTGACAATAACTGTTACAGCTTTTGGAATAGAATTTTTGGTACCCAACACAAAACTTGTTTCTGCGTTGAAAGAGAATAAAGTACAATACTTTATTTAAATATTTAATACAAAATGTAAAACATATAAACATAAACGTACGTATAAACTAGATACGATATACGTAATGTAAGCCATACATGATAAATAAATATGTACATACATCTCACAGACACGGGGTCTCTTACGTAAGCTCTGGGGTTCTATGACCCCATCTTCTCACCATACGGGGTCTCTTACGTATGTCCGGGGGTTCTATGACCCCACTTATGTCACTTGCTCATAGGATTGTATAATTGCTTCACGATTTTTTCAATAATAAACAGTTCAATGATATATATGCATTGTTTATTAAACCTGTCATTGTCTCTACTTATATTTACCATCAAGAAATGGTCGCAAGTTCGGAGTTCATAATATATCGCCCGCTCTGACGAAAACCTCTTCGAGCATCCTGTCATCCTAATACATAGCAGGGAAACATGAATCCGTTTTCAAAGTAGGTGGCACGTATAATACTATCTCTGTCCTTGTCGCACATATCGTCGCTCCTTGTCTTACACATTACAGGCATTGGAGAGAAGATAACACTTGTTGAAATTGTTAATAACTACTTAATAACAAACGATTCGTGTTCCAAAGTGTTACATCAAGATTGCCAGAGACCCATACTAGATTTCCTGACTACATAGAACCACCAATTGTGATGTTAAAGTAGGAAAATAATGAATAATACGGGCGACTGTCGAATAGCGCGACGTGACTGAGATCAACGTAACAACAAATTGTTCATAACAAATTAATTCAACCTCAAAACTGTTCGAAAGAGGTATGGGAAATTAGCTAAAGGTTCATTCTACATTCCTCGACTGCAAAAGTATACTAAATGTGCACCTTAGATTACTAAATTAATGAATAATGTGGCCAGTGTCCACTTACATTATGCGATCCTTGAACATCAGTTCAGATAATCATTAATAACTTATTAATTCGATGGCAATGTTACCGAAAACTGTGTTCTGAATATTGCGTGGGGTCTGTTTTGTGTTCTTCAGTTGCAAATAGTTATGAATTGTTCTTAAATATTGAGATATTAGTACATTTTCTAAAGATAGTTGGGTTATGGAATTTGGCGGGAATTTACTATCTCTGTCGCACTCTATACACCAGCTGTCCTTGTCTACAACTTCCTCGACCTTCTCGGTTATTCTGTATTCCTACTACCAGGAGCTGAAAAATCACCTATTTCCACTGCCAAAGCTTCTGGGCTGAATATTGTCTATCCTTGTCGCACGTTCGGCTTACGTATAGCGCCCTCTCTGTCTAACACCTCTTCGGCCATCCTGTTATCCTAATACGTACCAGGGGATCATGAATCCGTTTACAAAGTAGGTGGCACGTAGATACTATCTCCGTCCTTGTCGCACACATCATCGTTCCTTGTCTTACACATTACAGGCATTGGAGAGAAGATAACACTTGCTGAAATTGTTAATAACTACCTAATAACAAACCATTCGTGTTCCAAATTGTTATATTAAGATTGTTAGAGGCCCATACTAGACTTTCTGAGTACATAGAATCACCAATTGTGACGTATAACTAGGAAAATAATTAATAATACGGGAGACTGTCGAATTGCGTGACGTGATTGAGATCAACGTAGTAAAAAATTGTTCATAACAAACTAATTTAAACACAAAACAGTTCCAAAGGGGTATGGGAAATTAGTTAGGGGTTCATTCTACATTCCTCGATTGCAAATGTATACTAAATGCGTATCTTAGAATAATAAATTAATGATTAATGTGGCCAGTATCCACTTACATTATGCGATCCTTGAACATCAGTTCAGATAATCATTAATAACTTATTAATTCGATGGCAAAGTTACCGAAAACTGGGTTGTGAATATTGCCTGGGGTCTGTTCTATGTTCTTCAGTTGCAAATATTTATGCATTGTTCTTAAATATTGAGATATTTGTAAACTTTCGAACGTTAGTTGGATTATGGAATTTGGCGGGAATTTAGTCTCTCTGTCTCACACTATATACATTCTGTCCTTGTCTACAACTTCTTCGACCTCCTCGGTTATTCTGTATTCCTATTACCAGGAGCAGAAAAATCACCGATTTCCACTGGTAAGGCTTTTGGAGTGAATATTGTCTATCCTTGTCGCACATTCGGAGTTCGTATAACGCCCTCTCTGTCTAATACCTCTTCGGTCATCCTGTTATCCTAATACGTACCAGGGAATCATGAATCCATTTTCAAAGTAGGTGGCACGTGTGATGCTATCTCCGTCCTTGTCGCACACATCGTCGCTCCTTGTCTTACACATTACAGGCATTGGAGAGAAGACAACACTTGCTGAAATTGTTAATAACTACCTAATAACAAACCATTCGTGTTCCAAATTGTCATATCAAGATTGTTAGAGGTCCAGACTAGACTGTTATACTAGATAGAACCACAAATTGTAACGTAAAACTAGGAAAATAATGAATAATACGGGCGACTGTCGAATCGCGTGAGGTTACTGCGATCAACGTAGTAAAAAATTGTTCATAACAAATTAATTCAACCTCAAAACTGTTCGAAAGAGGTATGGGAAATTAGCTAGAGGTTCATTCTACATTCCTCGACTGCAAAAGTATACTAAATGTGCATCTTAGATTACTAAATTAATGAATAATGTGGCCAGTGTCCACTTACATTATGCGATCCTTGAACATCAGTTCAGATAATCATTAATAACTTATTAATTCGATGGCAATGTTACCGAAAACTGTGTTCTGAATATTGCGTGGGGTCTGTTTTGTGTTCTTCAGTTGCAAATAGTTATGAATTGTTCTTAAATATTGAGATATTAGTACATTTTCTAAAGATAGTTGGGTTATGGAATTTGGCGGGAATTTACTATCTCTGTCTCGTACTATAGTTTTCTGTCTTTGTCTACAACCTCCTCGGTCATTCTATGATCCTGATACCTGGGCTCGAAAAACAGCCGATTTTCATTACTAAAGCTTCTCGTCACAAAATTGTCTATCCTTGTCGCACATTCGGAGTTCGTATAGCGCCCTCTCTGTCTAATACCTCTTCGGTCATCCTGTTATCCTAATACGAACCAGGGAATCATGAATCCGTTTTCAAAGTAGGTGGCACGAAGATCCTATCTCCGTCCTTGTCGCACACATCGTCGCTCCTTGTCTTACACATTACAAGCATTGGGGAGAAGTTAACACTTGCTGAAATTGTTAATAACTACTTAATAACAAACAATTCGTGTTCAAAATGATCATATAAAGATTGGTCGAGGCCCATACTAGACCATCTGAGTAGATTGAATCAGTAATAGTGATGTAAAAGTGGAAAAATAATAATTAATCCGGAAGACTGTCGAATTACGTGACGTTGCTGAGATCAACGCATTTAAAAGTAGTTCATAACACATTAATTCAACTTCAAACCCATTCCAAAGGATAATGGGAAATTAGCTAAAGGTTCATTCTATATTCTCCAATCGCAAAAGTACACTAAATGTGCATCTTCAATTAATAACTTGTTGATTAATGTGGTTAATGTCCACTTACATTATGCAGTTCTAGAGAATCGCTTCAGATAATTATTAATACCTAATTAATCCGAAGTTAGAGTTAACGAAAACTGGTATGTGAATATTGCTTAGGGTCTATTCTATGTTCTTCAGTTGCAAATAGTTATGAATTACATTTATACATTGAGATATTTGTAAATTTTCTATGGTTAGTTGGGTTATAGAATTTGGCGGGAAACTGACTATCTCTGTCTCGTACTATATATAATCTATCCTTGTCTAACACCTCCTCGGTTATTCTGTGATCCTAATACCAGGAGCCGAAAAGTCGGTAATTTTCGCTGCTATAGCTTCTGCCCCGGAATATTGTCTATCCTTGTCGCACGTTCGGCACTTGTATACCCCCCTCTCTGTCTAATACCTCTTCGGTTGTCCTGTTATCCTAATACGTACCAGGGGATCATGTATCCGTTTTGAAAGTAGGTGGCACGTATAATATTATTTCCGTCCTTGTCGCACATATCATCGTTCCTTGTCTTACCCATTACAGACATACGAAAACAAACACATCCTCTAAGAAATGTTAGTAATTACCTAATTACGAATAAGCTTCATTCAAAACTGTTATCTAAAGGTTCGTAGAGGTAGAAACTAGTTTTTTCAACTGCAAATAATTATCAATTAACGTCGTAATGGTAGTAAATTCATAAATTCTGTTACGTTACATGATAGTGCGATTCCAAAGATTGTTAATAACTAATTAATTTTGGTCAAAATCTACTCAAAACTAGTATGCGAAATTTTTTAGGTCTCTTGATTCTTTAATTCAAAAATGCATAATTAAATTAGGGTGTAATATTTTATTACAGATACATTTTACATTTCTTATACTTATATTCTATATATATTTCAGTGTTACATGTACAATTTAAATTTACTTTCCGTTATCTTCGCTGTTCGTTTTATCGCTACTCTTAGCTGGTATAAAATCTTTGCCTAATCGCAGTTTATAAAATTCTTGTAAGTGTTTAGGAAGTGGATCAAAATTACAATTAACTAAGTCTATTGTATACAATAACATTTGACGAGATCCAGGCGATAAAGCCTCATCAATTAATACTTGTCTGGTCATTGCCATTAATTTATTCATTTTCTTCTTATGCTTTGTGTCATAAGCCTCTTTCCCACGAGCAATTATCTGAAAATATAATGTTAATTTTACAAAACTGTACAGAGGTAAGTTCGAGTTTACGATCACAGTACATACCAGATCCATGAAAATTTTAATCTCTTCTTCGGATGGTGTTTCCAATAACATTTCCATATAATCCAATAATGCAAAAAGAAGGAAGTTCCTGTAAGGTAAGTATTCCAAAAGTAAGTAAATATCATTATAAAACTGAGCAGCATTCTTGCGTCTAATTTCTATCCTTCCTAGATTAAAAATATAGCAGATAAGTTTCAAGATATTGTTGTACATGCTAATGTTGTTGTTTCATAGAAAGGAAATACATACTTTGATAATTAATTTGCATACAGATCAGAAAGTGTCCAGATAAACTTCTTTCTTCCAAATCTTTTGTCTGTGTCAGTGTACAGTTATTCAAAAACATCACAAGTTTTGGCCTCAACTCATTATCCTTTCTAGCATGTTCATGAAGCTTCTGAGATATATAGCTAAAATTAATTAGATTGATTAATTCAAATGTTTGAAAGATCATACTATGAAACTGCAAAGAAAGAGAATGTGCAGCATCAATGTATTACCTGAAATTGTTTACATCGACGAGCTTTAGAAACTCTTGGACCTGCTGCTCCAAATTTTCATTCGTGGTACGATTAATAATATTAACAAGGTTAGTATAATTAGCTAATTTTATGTCTAAGGGTGTTCCTGGTTTCCGCAATGAATCTGTATCATGTTTAGCCCATCCACGACCACGACCAAGACCAGTCGATGTCATGTCTTCTTTGGAGAATTTTAATCTGTTGAAAGAAAAAACAAGCCAATTGTAATTTTATCAACATTGCCTGAAATCTAAGTCGATAATCGTACAAATTGTGGGAACATATTTACACATAAACGACACACAATTTTCCGGTAAACGTGTGTACGCCTGCGCTACAATTTTTTCTGATCTGTATATAGTTGCGTTACACAGTCGCAGTTGTGTCAGAGCTGGGAAAATGACGGATTCCTTGACACAGGAATCAAACGAAGAGGAGACCAACCCACCACTACCACAAAAACGAAGAACGAATAACAAGGAACAATGAACAGATTGTTCTATCGTTCGAATAGTCATTCATACGAGCCAGAATATTCCAGTACTTCATTGATCGTACTTTTCTGAACCGTGTCGACCTAATCAAAGTCAGACGAATCCATAAATACGACAAATTACAAATGTGGAACACAATGAAAGAAACTCTATATTAGGCTATCAAAACGAGACTATCTTCGTTGGTTAGCTTCTCATTTCAAACTTATGTTCACGTCGGCATTCTGTGTCTCGAACGAGGCTCCAATAAATAACAAGCTTGAACAACCTCTCCTGTTCCGTACACAGTCGGTGGCAGTTCCGCGTCGCGAGGAAGAAGGGGTTAAACGTCCGATCATTTAACGCGCATGCGCTATCGCGAATGTATGATTACCGGACGGACGATCGCCAGTCATCAATCGGTGATCTGTCATTTGCTCGTTCTACCAGGCTTTTTTTTACCGATTTTTCGTTTGATTCGAAAGCCGACGGGTTTATGTCTCGTTGAAAAAGGTTTTTCCGCTCGCGACCACGTTGGCCAACTCGATCGGAAGTTGTTGATATTAATCGAGAGACGAAGGGAACGTGAGGTAGCGAAGCAAGCGTGTGTATTTATCTGTTGAAAAACTACGGACCTTGCCATGACGACGGAAGAGAAGTTTCACGCGGCCGTTAATGTGATCAGGAGTCTGCCAAAAAATGGTAAACTTTCGTCCTGCTGTCAGACTTCTCATCTTCTGTCAATTTCTGTTTTCATTCTCCGATAATCCTGAGTTCTTCTGCTGTTCATTTTTTCCCTGTGCATCTTTCTCTGTCCACACACCGCGTAAATCATACTTTTCAATAAGACACGATAAGCACGGCGCGTGTACACAGGTCGTACCTCATTTTTTGTTCCCCTCGGAACCATTTTTTTTCTATAGCCAAGTATGCACCCAAGACTCGTTCAATTAGTCTTTTTTTTCTGTTAATTCGCAATACACCAGCAAAGAACGTTTAGCGATAATTATTTTATACACTGACAAGCTGTTTGTACGTGAACAGTCGTACAAAGTTCATGTCTGACTTGACAAAATATTTATCTATATCGTTTCATTGACACGCGGTAAATACGGCTTCTAAATATATTTTCTTTGTGTTTTGTTTTTTTCTCAGTAACGATGAATTTCCATTTGTTTTGACAGGTGAAACTGCCGATAATTACAATAACAATAACTTGATGTACAATTACGAAAGCCTATAGTAGTTTATTACTACAGAGACATATAAATATATCTCTCTAAGAAATTTTCTGTTAAATTCTATTTCTCTAGAGAACTCCCAGCAATATTTCTTGCAAGCTGTTTTCTTTATCAAACAGCTCTGTATTTTTCTATTGCAATGGAAGCAATGCACCATTATTAAATTCTTAGCAGGGAAATGTACTTTCCACTTATTGTAAGTAAATGTGTGAGTGTTCTCATTTCACTTTCTAACAGGGAAGGAATGGGTGAACGGCACTTTGAGTTTAAAACCAGAATGTTCCTCTTCAGTGATCACAAATACATTTAACATTTGTATAGAGTTCTGACTGTTTTTTTTTTATAAATCGTTTAAAATATGAAACCAAATACAATGACTCCAAAATTTCCATACAAAAAATTATACGAAAAATTAAGCAATAGACACATCTAATTTTATCTAATAAAAGCTTTATAAAAAAAGCTCACTGTATAGATTTTGAACAAGTTATCAAATGTTTCCTTTGATTAGAAAAATGAAATAGAATTTTTATAAAGATGCTAATTAAAATGCGCGTTCGAAAGTGATTTGTGTGTGTCACTTAATTCTATTTACTATGTTTCAGGAGCTTATCAACCTAGCAACGAAATAATGCTAAGGTTTTATGCATACTACAAACAGGCAACAGAAGGGCCATGCCAGCAGACAAAGCCTGCTTTCTGGGAAGTGGTTAAGAAAGCTAAGTGGGATGCTTGGACTCGTTTGGGTAATATGAGTAAAACAGAAGCTATGAACAATTATGTGGAAGAATTGAAAAAGGTTGCTTTTAAAAACAAACAACACTATTATGCGTAACATAAGATGGCTTCAAAAGCCTGTCCACACTTACGGACATTGTTTGCAAACATCTGTCCATGTATAAAGTTTCAGAATGTTTGCAGACAGTCTGCAAGACAATATCCGTAAATGTAGAATGGCTTTAAGTAACACTGTTTAACATTTAATTTGTGCAATGCACTAGATTGTGGAAACAATGTCGTACACAGACAAAGTAGCTAGTTTTCTGGGTAGTTTGGACACATTTTACGAAAGTGTTCCGCAAGAGGACCTGGAGCTGCTAGTTGGCCCCGTCTTGGAGCGTATGAGATCACAGCCCAGCTCACCATTGTCTAGCTCACCGTTGGGTTAGTAATTGTAAATATTGATAACACACCTGCTGTCAACACGTTGTTATGATATCCGATACGGTGTACACACACTTTCCTGTTTGCCATTGATAAAGAATTGAAAATTGATAATAATTATATGTTGTGTAGCATCCAGGGAAACATCGCCGCACCGAGTATGCAACGTGACCAGACATATCGCGAGCAGTTTAGAAACAAGTCCAGCCAGTAGTAATAGCGCAAGTCCGCTACCACCGGACACTGACGGCGAAGAAGAAGAATTTATAGATACCGTCGAAGTAAACTGCTAATATTACAAAAACGGTGTTGAAAAGATGTTTATATTCAATTTGTACGGCTTGACCTTAATCTTTTACTTGCAGACTGCTCCGGAACGATCGCAGAAAGAAACAATAAAAGCTGCTACTTCCACCCAAAAAGTATCCAATGGATTTAACGTTACTAACGACATAGTTAGTGAGTCAGTTGTTCTAACGGAGAAGTCTTCGGGATTACCTAATGGCTACATCGACATGAATGGCCGCGTCGAGACGGTAACAGAGAGCAAACAAGATAGAAGCAGACAACGGAACAAGAAGGATGACAAACCGAATGCCGATTTTTTCAATCAAATAGCTGCAACCATGCAAAATTTACAAAGGGATTTGGACAGAGTAACAGCCAGAGTACGCAGCTTAGAAGGCCAAGCGTTACAGGCAATGGCACCACAAACCGTGAGTCTACGTCGTCGTCAAATTTTTATCTAGACATCTTGTCACTTTGAATATTTATTATTATGTAACGTTGTATTTTCAGAGACAGCCTACATCTACTCCGTACCCGAAATGGTGGCCTTTATCGGAATGCTCCCCCCGATTATTCGCTATGTTAATCTTGTGGCCGTTCGTAGCACAGTTTCTGATTTCATATACACAACGGTATCGTCAACGGAGACTGTGATCTAAATGATATTGATTTGCTCGAAACTTAGTCCGTTACTCGTCATTAATTAACGTTCAACGTGAAACGATGCAGAGATGGCTAGGTTATTAGCGGATAGAACATTTTTCATGTGTTACAATTCGAAAGCGGAGTTTGCAGTGTTTGTTCGTCTACTCTGCGAGAATTCGTGGATGAAACTATTTTAGCAAAGTAATTAATTAATTGCGTAAGAGTTTTCGATTCTATAAATCGTTCGCGTACATTTCCATGTACAGCAGTATGTACAGAAAGATTTATTTATTCTAAAAATCGAGATTCTAGGGGGGGGGGACGGAATTCATTTGTCTCTCGTAATGTTTATATGTTAAAAACAGGTGAATTAGCTGGTATCTAAGGTGACTTATATGTATTATAAATAATTGTATGTATTCATATATTGTAATACACGTAGAAGCAAAGATTATATACAAATTTTATATTGTGAATTCAGGTTAAAGGTGTAAAACAGAATTTATTACAATGTGCAATCTTTAAGAAAAAAACAAAACTAATTTCTTTAGAACAGTTTTATCACTGTCCTTTATTATAATAGTGAAGTCCTTTTCCCAATTATTTTCATATAATATTAAGTTTAAGACCAATGTATTATTGAAATTTATGTACAGACATTGTATAAAAATATACAATTTTTAATTATATGTTACAATAGTGACTGTTATTTGCCATTACCTTTCACCCCGCGTTTAATAATTCAATCGACAATTCTATTCCTTCTGAATATATTGCATCTCTCGTGCATTTTATTGCTCGAATATGTAATCATTTCATAGTAAAATGTCAGATAGATCGTCTGCGCTATGAACAAACTTTGAAACATGTAACTAAACTAACAAGTACAAAAATGATATTCTAATTATTTGTAACTATGTGTAATTACAGTGTCGTTAAGAAAAAAACAGTTTAAAACTCATCTTTTTATTTACTTCATATCAATTATTTCGTATAACATAAAGAATATCATTTTCACGGAACAATTGATTTATTCTTTGTGGCAGATATACGTGTACGTATCTACAGAACAGAATTACCAATTAGCCATTTCCAGAAATTCATAATTAACCTTCTATCGTTGAAATTGCATCTGGATTTATCAAGGATTAAAGTTCATATAAACATACAGATACGCATTTGAATGCATGCATGAGATAAGATGCTTGTAAGAAAGATTTTAAGATGAGTACCACTGGCCGAGTGAGTAACCTACCCACCTACTCTGCACAATGCGAGAATGGTAGGGGACCGATATTGGCAACAAGTAACTGTGAGGACGAATTTCGCAACTGTTGGCATTTTGAAACGTTGGCTTACAGCCTACGGTGTCTTTGTTTCGCACATGTAATCTCGATTACATCCGAGGAAAACATATCCGCGATACAGACGCTTGATTATTTGGCAAAGGACGTTAGGACTATTGTAAGTGGTATTCCACAGGTGTGGAAATCTGAATATAGATCAATGCCGTGTTCAATTTCCATGTGAAGCCTCTTTGTTAGAGGTCTGGAAGTGTAAATTAAATTGAAAAAAAAAAATATCAGAAAGATGAATACGAACCTGCTGATCATGATCCTGGCATTTTCGGCCGTGAGTTTGTCACACGCGGCCCACGTATATTTGGGAACCATCGTCTTCGCCAATGTCGTAAGTTTCGAGTTTGTTTTTTATTCTGAAATCAAGCGTACAAAAAATTAAATTCCCCAAATTTCTACTTTAACACGTTGACTGTTACAGTGATATAGGCCGTACTTAGCTAGACACACTGTATTTAGTTTTTTAAGTCATAAATCGTCGAAGATATATGCGTTTAGTTAATAGCGGTTGTTGGTCTTATTTTCGATTATATGCGACATTAATTTTACTCAAAATTCTGTGACGGTATTTAAATAATCCAGCCCTCTTTGCAATATATGTGTCACCCATATTTGCGTGATGTGGCAGTCAAAGTGTTAAATTAAATATGCATCAATAAATGTTTTGTTTACATAATTTTTACATTTTCAAAAATAGACACTTTAATGAGCATAAATATTCTTTATTTCCTATATTTTCTACTCACATGTAATTAACATTTCCTTTGTAGTTCTTCTTCTATTTCTAAAGGCAGTTATATTTATTTTCTAGTTGTACAGACATGGAGATAGGACACCTATAGATCCTTACCCAAATGATCCTTACAACAATGAAAGTATTTGGCCAGTTCCATATGGTCAGCTAACAAATGTAAGTAGCTTAGTCATTCTAACAATAACCAATAGAACGTTTAGTTCAATAGAATCTTATTTTCTGTGTAATTAATTCTTCTTAAAGAATGTACATATATTTTTCATAAAAAAGACTGTTAAATACTGTATGTTTGTACATAATATTATCTCTTCCAAAGAAGAGACTTTTTTGCAAGATCTTAAGATCTCTTTCAATTCGATGACAAGTTTAGTGCTTACCAAAAGCACTGATTGTGCTTACCAAAAGCACTTATTGTGCTCTATATAGGTTGGGAAACATCAACACTTACTGCTTGGTCGTTCGCTTCGCAAACGCTATTCGCATCTTCTAAGCAACTTCTATTCTCTATATGATATCTATATTCAAAGTACAGATGTAGATCGTACTTTAATGTCAGCAGAATCGCATCTTGCTGGCCTATATCCGCCAAGTGGTAATCAAGTATGGGATAATATTAAATGGATGCCTATTCCAGTGCATACTATTCCGGTAGATAAAGACCATGTATTGGCTGCTAAGAAATATTGTCCTAGATACGATTATGAACTGGGAAAAGTTCTTAAATCACCAGAAATTAAACGCATAGATAGAGAAAACGAACACCTGTACACATATCTAACAGAGAAAACAGGAAAGAAAATTTCATCCCTTATATCTGCAGAGCAACTGTATAATACTTTATTTATCGAGGTGGAGTTAGCATATTATCCCTATCGTTACATTCTTTAAGTAGTCTTCACATTAATAACAATGTATGGTTTCTTTCAGAGTATTTATAATAAAACACTCCCGGAATGGACAAAGTCTGTGTTTCCTGATAAACTTAAACCACTCGCAGAGAAAAGTTTTACAATCGAAACTTACAATAAAATACTTCAGAGGTTAAAATCAGGTAAATGAAGACATGTGAATTTCATTGACGTTTCAGTGAACAACTAACTAGAAAGTAATGAACATCCAATAATAGGATCACTACTGGGAGAAATGATAGATCACATGGAGAAGAAGTCAAAAAATGCACTGGTACCAGATAGAAAAGTATGGATGTACAGTGCCCATGATGAAACTGTAGCTAATTTATTAATGACTTTGAATTTATTTGATTTGCACTGTCCCCCATACACTGCTATGATTCTTATAGAATTAAGAATAAACTTAAAAAATCAGTATTTTGTAACGGTAAGTGTTTATAATAAGTTTAATGAATGGGATATTTAAAATGTTAGGGGAAAAATTCAATAACCATTTGCAATTTACAGGTATCTTATAAAAATTCTAGCGAAGAACCAATTCTATTAACGCTACCTGGTTGTACCGCGTTATGTCCTTTAAATCAATTTATTACGCTAACTAAAGATGTTATACCTATAAATTGGGAAAAAGAATGCGCAATGGATGTGGACGAATTTAGATACAATGTTAATACAACTGCAGTTATTGGTAGGTTTTTCAGTATGTAAATAATTAATTATTTTTATTCTCATTTAATTAACAACTGTTTCCTTCTGTTTCAGCCATCCTGACATCTTCTATACTAATGTTAGTTTTACTAATTTTAGCTATAATTGGCTTTATTTCTTGGCATTATAAACGAGAACACAATCAGTATTATCTTCGACTAACAACGGATCCTATGTAATGGATATAGTGGTGTGCAAACGAAAACCACATTACTTCTATAATCAGTATCATCGTAATCGAGTGATTAAGATAAATACTAAACTCGTATCGGCTTTTACATACATTAGAAAATAAACTGTTTACCTAAAAAAGAAAAGGCTGACACACCTTTCATTCAGTATTTCTACAAGATCCGAAACATTTGTACTTTTCTATTGGCGATGAACTATTTCAGTTTACAGGTATATAAACAACTGAACACTGATTTCGCATAAGGAAAGAATATTCTGTGAGACATCTAGTACCATGTTACATATTTATATATACACATATAATTGTTGAAAACAAGGCTGTTTTATAAGAAATTTTGTAATCATTTTTATCAGCCTTATATAAAGGTGTTAAACTCTTAACAAGTTTTATGATTATGAAGTGCTATGTTACTTAAATTGATTTTCGACGGCACGTGAGAATGTTATTTGTGATGAGGTGTAAAATATTTTACAAATTAACCGTGAGTGTAATCAAGGTATCGAAAAATCACTAGTCTACCAAGAATGAAAAATAAATAGATAAAAATTGTATTTGCATCGATTAATTCAAGGGAAATATTATTTATGACACACTGATCGACGAATTATGAACTTCGACGTGCGATTGGATCCCAACGATGTATTATATAAAATTGGGTTCAAAATACATGTACACGATACTTATCAAATTTTAAATGTTTTTACGGCTACAAAACGTTAACTGCGTTGGTCTACGATATTTAGCACAATGTCTAATTATATTGTTGCATGTTACAAAAGCTAAAGACGATGCAGAAATTACTTTTTAATTGAGTATATGATTGGCCTAAAAGTCCGTTTTTTCCTTGAACGGGCGTACTTTATTGTTGTAAAATTACTTTGCTTAATATCGAGATGAGTGTACAAATAATATAAAGATGTATCTTATCCGAAATATTTTTGTGACATTTAAATGCGAATAAACGTATCTATGTTGCAAACAAAAATAATGTTTGTTCTATAATAAAATCACAATTAAAACATTACCTGTTTACGTATGTAGAGGTAACAGTGTGTCCAACGACGGTTACGGGTTGACTGGCCGGGGGTATGTTTTGTGTACCATTTATATGATTACAGTTCACCTTTCAAGGACTTTGTTATGTCTACGATCACGCATGTTTATAACAGAATGGTCATTTAAAAGTCAACGCGGTTAAATTTCGTTGACACCAGCGGAGGCACACTGTATTTCCTCTTAACAATATACTTTTATCATTTTTATACTGTTTTCCTCTAGAGAGAAACGCCGAAGAAATACCAACAAAATTGAAACGTGTAACATTATTTTATTTTACAATTAAATATATACAAGCTCACTTATCTTGTCTGTATTGTAGAATTGGCATGATATGTCGGTATTAAAATTATGATGTCCAATGAGCTTTAAGTACAAGACTATCATACGAATGCTTTATATTCTGTACAACGTTAAAGTTCGTAAAAAAATATGATTCGTGAGTATTATACACTATCTGTGATGTTTTCTTTTTATGTACATTTGGTATCGATTAGTCATCATCAATAATCTGGAATTGTGTTAAAACTGCCAGTCCAGTTCTCTTGGATATTAAATGCCGGATTTGATCTAAAATATTACGTATATTAGTCGTGTATCCTGATTGAAGACTAACGTTACATTTAGAAGCATAAAATCTTATAATGATTCTTACCTTCTTTAGACATGTGATATCAATTTAGCGTTGGATAGTCGACCCTTTTTTTCGGTTAAAAATGTGCATGCAATGAAAATAGTTTTAGTCTGTGAGTTAAGAAATACCAGTATGTTATGATTATAACGAACGAAATCACACGTGACGGACACGTAGGCAACTGACAAATAGAGTAACAAATAGGTGAAATGTGTAAAAGCAAAAAATTGCTGAATAATGGTAGATTTACTTTAATGCTAGTACATACGTACCATATGTGATGCTATGTTGAAAGTAGGATGATCTCGCAATTGCTTTAAAGTGGACACATTTTCTGTACTTAGGGGAAGGCACGTTGAATGAAATACTTTCATAAGGCAAATTCAATTACATACTTAATGATGTTTCTGACACATTGAAGAAGCTATGAATAAAAAAGCAATAATTCGGAATCTTAACAGCACTGGTTTGTTTCATGTTTAATATCGATTACGTACTTAAATACTAGCGAACGTTAATAATAAACAGTAACAAACCACCCAACAAGATGATACACATAGCATTTATTTTTCTTACAAAAAATGTTAAATGATCGAAAGCAACACGATCGATTCTTCCAAGATATGTATGTTATTATTTATTAAAAATTTGTATATAATGTTATTAAAGCACATTTACCCACAGCATATGTCTATCTCGAGACATATTTTTCCTAATATACACACACACACGAAACATTTATGTACATTAAACCTCATGATGAAATTTAAAAACAGTTATTATTTAAAAAAAAAAAATATACAAAGACTTATTAACACACACGATATTGCACAACATCAAACCAAAGAGTTAAGATAATAATCGCAATTACCAGTGAATACGTAACCATGCGTCAGTTAATAATAATAGGAATACAGATATTCACATACTAAAAAGAATGTTAGTGCAAATATTACATGAATTGGCAATTCTTTTTTTTATATAAAAAATATGATTAATTATTGTAAGTTACTATTCATTGTTAATTGCAATTCTTTATATGTCCAAAACAATATTTCCTTTTCCATATTAACATAATACAGAATGCAAGACAATCAGTTAAATTAACTACTAAATCATTTCAATAAGCAGAACATATACAATCTTACCTTGCATATATTGTAGGGTTTGATAATCCTAGTGTTGTACTTACAGGACTACCGATATACTTTTTTACAAACTGTAACAAAAGTGAACAATGAATTATTATCAATGGGATGATTACTATCAATGTAGGCGATAGTATCTGATACATGCCCAATGGTCAGCAAAAGAAGTTGCACCCATACTGATAGCCATATGAATTGTTAAATAAAGACAAAATAGGAGGTATAAAATGGAATATATTGCAATTGCAAGTATCACTGCCCAGTGATGCGGTAAATCCTCTTCAACTGTATTTATTACAAAATATATATTTATAGTTATTACTAGCACAGACAATGCTGTCGCAATAATTTTATTTGCCCTGAAATTTAAAAGTATACCTTGAAACCCTGGACACTCGTACAAGGATAATGTATAAAAATGATTACGTACAATCCATTCCGGAATTCGCCCATTATGTGAGAACTACTCGTGAACGCTATCGTTGGCAAGGTTGCAAAAGGTAACTGAAGCGTCATAATAGCGTTCAAGATGTCGTTCATTCCAGTCAAGTTGTTTATGTCGCTGAAAAAGGCTACGAAAAAAGTAGGAACAATGGCGATCATTCGGGTGAAAAGGACTCTCTTCCATCGAGCCCATTGGAGATTCAAGAAACCCTCCATCGCAAATTGTCCCGCGTATGTGCCTGTCATTGTCGAAGACTGACCAGCGGCGAAAATACCTACAGCCCAAATGTACATTGCTGCTGCACCAAACGCGCAACCGAGAAATATGCCACCTTTATTAAGATCTACCGAAATTGTTGTATTATCTTTCTGCAATTTGTGTAAATGACAAAACTGTACTTCGAAGAAACTAAATATGATAAAAGAATTGCACACTCGTTTGTATAAACTGTTTAAGTACAGACGTTGTTTAAATTAATCGGTGCCAAACTTATGGCAGAATGAATTGTTATGATGGATTTTTGTGGAATAAACAGGCAGTATGGTCGCACTCGTCTGTAATCAAACGGTTAACAAGATCGTATTAGCAGCTCTATTATTCGTCTACTTACCGGAAATGTTTCCATTCCTATAGTGTAATTATTAGCCTCGCACACCTGATACTAAAATGAGATGAAACGAAATAAACATGAAGTTACAAAAATCCTATAACCACTTTGGCAATACATTTTATACATTTATACTACTTACTATGTCTAAATTGGTTTTTTTATATAGACCATCCGCAAAAACTGCTACGACAAATACGTTTATGATAAAAGAAACCAGCAATGCGATGCACGCTTCGATAAAGTAATACATATTTGCTTCTTTTACTTTTTTGGGTTCCCTACGATCGATATCTCTCGACTAAAAATTGTAACAAGAATACATTAAAAGGTTAATTTTACCAAAATATCGAAGTTTGAAGTATCAGAATGGCTATTTCCTCGAATTCAGAGAAAAGACATTATTTGCACTCTCTGCATTTTTCTTACTTTAACAAGGGCACTATGGAGATATAAGTTGTGCGGCATTATGACTGCACCAACAATTCCCACAGCTTGCAGTAACATATTCCGATCGTAGTCCTTGTACCAAGGCACAAACATGCCTTCTATTACTTCACCTTGCGGAGGAGCAGATAGAACGTACTAAAACAACATAAACAATGAAAGCGTGGCGACAAGAATACTGGTCTTTTGATTAATACAGTGCATTATGTTATACATTTATTTTAAGTGTATAAAAGATGGCTCACCTCGTAACCAAAAGTAACAGCCATTACCATGATGAGAAGTCCGAACAAGAGTTCCAATTTTCTTAAACCATATTTATCTAATAATAAAAATGTAAAAGTGTCGATTACAGTGATAAGTACACCACCCCATATAGGTATCCTAAAAAATATTATTAAATAGAATTCTAGATCAAAGGTACATTGAATATTTAATTCCCTGATAACGCGTATCTATAAATTACCCTCGGCCGGCCGATATCGGGTCACTTTAACCCACATTTACGATTTGAGTGTAGAGGAGAGAAAACGACACGCGAATTAATCAGAACAGTTCAGTCTTATCGTGGTAAAATAAGCAATCACTGCGTGGAGGGGTTTAATGTCTCCAGCAGGCAGTATTCAGTGTACCAGCAAGAAGAAAAGATCGAATGAGCTATGCATTAGCATTGCACTTAATGAATGTATAATGAAAATTCTGATATGCGTTAAAATGACCCGGTATCGGCCTACAGCGTTACCGTTTCGATCGGCCGTTCGAGCAGTAAAGCAAGCAAAACTTGTAAAACAAATATGACGTGATCTTGAAGGAAAGTTATTGAAAGATAAGAATATCTTCTTATCTGGTTTAGAATATTTGAGAAATATATATAACGAACCGAGCAGAGCAACAGATTAATATCTGTGTCACTTACGCTTTATTTGTTAACAGAGAAAGAGCAATGGCCGTTCCTATTACTTCTTGCATGTCGCTACCAATTATAGCTATTTCCATCATTACCCACAAAATTAATCTAGGCACTTTCTTGTATTGCCTGTAACACATTTCTGCTAAATGTAATCCTGTAACTACACCAAGCCTTGCGCTTAGCCTTTGCATAATAAGACCTAAAATTGTAGCACTTAACAGTACCCATAATAACTGAAAAAGGAACAGAATAGATATATTATAATGTGCTTAACGTTGGAGCTTTCCAAATTAAAAATTCGAATAGTTGGAAAAAGTACCTTATATTTGGCAGCTACTCCAGACTGTAAATCAGACTCTATATTTCCCGGATCTAAATAAGCTATGGACATTAAGAATCCAGGACCTGTGAAGGCCCATAATTTTCTTATACTGAAAAGACCCTATAAAATTTGGTAGACGTTAATTATGATTTGGAGTAAATAGAATTTGCTCAATTAAGTGTTCTTTTGTTTTTAACTTTGGTACATTACATTGTCTGTCTCTGGTATATGAATCTTCTCATCAGCAAAATATGCTTGGTTACTGTTGGGTGTTAAAGAGGTGCTTTCCGTTGCACTAAGGTTATTTTCTCCTTTCTGTTCATGCTGATTAGACACTGTGGTGATTGCTGAATCATTATTGTGTTCCATAGCGTAACTACTCTGCATGGTGTAACGATAAGATGCGTCTAAAAGTATATAAATCATCGATTTATATTGTGTATACACGTTCTTGAGAACGACTTTCTTCGTACTTGTAACAAAACAATTAAAGGTCCATTTATACAGAAAACGGTCCCGATGACGGGACGAGATCTCTGACAAGCCAACAAAAATATCCTTTCGTGTGTATTAAATGAACAATGTATATTGACTAGGCTCGTCTCGTCTTATCTATAAGTGGATCTTAATAGTTTTATCCGTCTGACATGTTCAATTGCCTAAATTGGATAATTTAGACCTGAAAAGTAACCCTCATTGCGTGTATTATTGAGAAGATATACTGTCCAAACGAGACAACAAAAAATAGATAATTAAAAAGATAAAATAATTAACCATAAGTGTAAACAATCAACCATTTGTCGAATTGACATTCTCAAAAGGACGCACAGTTCACATTCTTTAAAACACATATATACACGTCTCTCTTTACGTTACCATGAAATTAAGAAGCGGTACAATGTAAACGGAATCAAAGACAACGGAGTACAATAGTCACGAACAAACTGATACGACTGATTATAAGCGAACGGGAAACAGTGGCACGAGACCTACGACATCTGTATCACTCGGACGTTCCCTCTCTTTAGTGTTTCTCAATGCGATTTCTGGCGGGTACGCCCGAATCGAAATGAAGTGGGGGACATCGTGGGTCAGAAATTGCAAATAGACATTTTTCGACGCCACGTATTCCGGAACAATAACTATGACAACTACACGGGATGCCCCGTCGTGTATTTACGATGGAAACTGAATTAACATAACTCTTTGTACGGAACTCTGTTTTCGCCACGTGAGGCGAACATCAAATATCTTTACAGCAATCCAGACTTCGGTTTCTGTGTGAACTCTTTATCGACTCGCAACATTTAATTTCAACAGAATTTGTTCGTCGCTCAATCTAAACAGCCGAAGTCGTAATTAAGTGCTTGAGTGAACCAAATGCAACATTAAAATTGTAGTTTTAATTACCTGCGGAGCACACACGGTGGGATAGGAAATGATCCGAACGAAACGTGCAGCACAAATATTGATATCACAGGCTTCTATATTAAATTGAAATCGATAGTTGTATCGATATGAGTCGATATCCCTAAATCTATCTCGCTAACGATTCAATCACGATATAAAGACTCGATTAACTCCCTGTTAATTCTCACGTACTCTATTATCGATGTTCAATCACCTACGATTAGATGCATGAAGTATCGTACAATATACACGTTGTGTGTGTATACATAGATACTCGTGAGCTAGAGGTTTCTCTGAAGATTAGGTGCACGATAACGTGTGTTTGTTAGCGAAACGTGGTCACTTTGGTCTGTCAATTTTTTTTTGTTTTTTTAAATACAGACAGCTATATCGGTTGCCGCCGATAATCTCTGCTAGTTTGGGTCGTTCGTTATCGTTGTGATTCATCCTTGTGGTAATTCCCCTCGCGCGAAGGAAAACGAACACGTAGCAAACGCAAATGCACTCGTCCCATGAATGTCTCTATTCAAATCTTTTGCTAGCTTCGGTGACACTAGATCATCCCGTTACGCAATGGAAATTACGAAACGGATATTGAATAAATTTATGACGCTGAAACGTGATTACCCTGTAATTGACCGTGTGTGGCAACATTTCGCAAAAGTGACCAGTTTTCCAAGAAATATGTATACCCAGATAACACATGACGCCTTGAAGACGGTTTAAAGGCGCCTTAGACCTAAAATAGCCGTAAAATAGGCGTCTTTAAGGCGCCATATGCTATCTGGGTATCGAAATATATCCAAATCTACATAACTGCATCCCCAGATCAATAACCGAAGACGTAAATTGTTTTATTGTCGTTACGTTTTGCTGCTGATGCTTCGTATAGAAATCGAATTATCGAATATGTTATCAATTTACGTGTGACCACAAGTGTGCTCCGATAAATATGGAAATTCCATTGCGGAACATCGTTACGAGAACATATGTATTTTCCCTTGACACGAAATTCGAAGGGGAAATAGAATCGGCGATGTAGAGAAATTTTCTTCTTGTTCCACGAACGCGTCGAATGCTGAAACGATTTCCTGTAATTTTAACCGACAGAAAAAAAAACGTGCAGGAAAATTTCAGCCGAGTCTTTACGATCGACAGGGTAATTAATGTAATTAGAACGTAGCGTTCGACTATTTTTTTCGCAAGTATATACATACTTTGCGCACCGCAGAGGCGTTCAAGACGCTGGGAAAACCAACTGTCGACCATAAAACGCATAGCCATCTCATTGGTGGCTCGTAAAATTATAAAGGCTTAGTTTCATACTCTCGGTAATGATTATAGGAATGAACAGCTGATTTTTGTTGAGTTTTCCTGGATAAGAGTATGTTATAGTTCTGCTAGAAGTGGCACAAGATCAACACTGGTCACTTAGTGTTTCTTGTTTCGATAAAATGAAATTAAAAAACAGCCATTTGAACGATGTTATCCCGACTGTAACTACATACGATAAAAATCTTCAATCATTCGCAATTGGATTTCTTACCGTTGACGATGCCGATGATACCGACGATCGATCTTTTGTTTTCGCTTACTTGTCGTCACGTGACAAGGGGCGACTGAATATGTACACACACGTGTATGCATAATTCATTATGTACAGATGACTATAGTTTCGTTCGGTGATCCTTTGATCGAGTCTCAATCCAACATCGAAACAGAGTAGTCTCTTGAAGTTTAAAGGAACATATATAAAAAAGATGAACGATATGACCTGTAATTCATTTGCATTAAAAACTAGGAAGACTTATTGAACTGTACGTAATATAGATAATAACACGCGTCCAAAGTAATACGCCTATTTCTAACGTTCGACAGAAACACAGGTGGCAATAAAACATTAAATGTTTCCCTCATTCTCGATAACGTGAGTTCGAAGATGGCGCGGTGCGGAAACTAACCTGCGTGGCGACGCAGCGATCTTCCTATCCCTTCGAGGAGATCGCGTCGACTAATGTCGGTGACGAAAAATGCAAAAGACACGAATTTATTGTCTTTTCACATGTCAACCAGAGATACAACCTGTTCAGATATCGAACGGTGAATTATTTTAACCAGATTCTTACGTGATTCTGTAACATATTTCATGTTCCGTCGTCGTCGTTTTCGAACTCTCAAGAGGAGAAAGTTTTCTTTCTGTGCAGTCGGACTTGTGAACGTCCATAGTGCGCGTTATTATATTCGGATTTGACGTAGGCATTTTTGTTAATTGAATTACCGTACGCGACAATGTAACATCGTGAACAAAACAGGGCGTGGTTCGACACGTTCGCAAATAAAAGTCGGTACTTTAGCCATTGAGAGCGGTGTGTCGAGTGACAGTAAAGAGTACAAAGAATTAACGAGTATATAGAGCGGTTTGTATACATCCGAGGTTCATCGATGATTCATTTGTCGCCTAATTAGCAGTTTTCCATTGACCACTGCTTGATTGTAACATCGTAGGTGTGTGGAAGAGGGCTACGGGCTGGCCCGAAGAAAGTCACCGTAAAGGAATTTCTGAACTCGCGAGATAAGGGATTTATGAGTCAGCCATTCGGTTCCGACACGGTCGCCCCACGGAAACATATTTCACGAATCGCGGAGGCTCGAAATCATTTTTCGACTTTCGACACTGCAAGAACGTTCCACGGAACATTTCTTTCAAGGACGATACGTTTGGTCGACTTACCAGGTATGCTTAAAGACTTCCTTAAAGGAATTAGCTCCATTATAGTACAAGCAGGTGGTAGGAGACTCTTACTCAATAGATAGACTAGTGCAACTGGTGATAATTGTTTGCGAAGAAGATTTGCCAAGTAACTCCCCCCCTCCCCCCGTGAACCTTGCCCCATTTATATGCTTCCTGTGTAATGCGTAATCCCAGTGTTATTGTTTACAGAAAAATGTCGAATGTTAACAGTTTAGAGCAACAGATTGCAAACTTGCAAATTAATCATGGGGACAGCATTAAAACTGTTAAGCCTGGCAAGAAAGTCGGGCCAGCCGTGCCACCAAAACCAAAAAAATCACAACCCCAGGTCGGTATATTTTGTAATAGTTATAGGGAGATTAATTCTTCTGTGGTTAATATTATTCAATGCTTCCATTTCATGTCTGTTCCATTATTATGCGAACATGGTAAAACCTGACTTGAGTTAAGAGTTCTGAGACGTAATGTTTGGCGAGACAAGAATCTAATCTGTTGTATCATTTGTTTTTTAGGTACCGCAAAGTTACACTGTAAAGGCAGCATCTGCTCCATCGTACAGTACAGTACTTAATAATTCTGGAACAAACGAGAAACCATCGAATTTATATGCAAATTCTCCTTCGCCTTATATGCCATTGAACATAGAGAAGAATGATTTCTCGCTGTCGGCTTGTACGAACGGAAAGGACACGTCTAAAGTTTACGGTAACACCGATAACTTTTACGTGCATCGAACCGATGAAAAGTTTCAGCCGAAGTACGACTACGACGAGAAAAATTATTATTCAAATATTGGAAATATGCCAGCTCCTCAAGTCCCTGTCGAGGATCATTCGAGATCGGTAAGAAATGTTGTGTACAGCAACATCGATCCTCCAGGGACTGTGCCGGTTAAAACAGCAAGCAAAACTGAGAAAGATATAATCTATAGCAATATTCAATGGAATTCGAAACCAGAGAATACATACTCCAATATACCTGCTGCTCATGGTAGATATATACGTAACGGTCTATCTTCGACGCAAGTTTTCATATGCATATGTCATATGATTTATTAATTCGGTCAACAAATTATTTACAGATGACTTACCACCGCCCCCAGAACCATCGGAGTACGTCCCTTGCGTTCCAAGTAGTTCGTTTCCTCCGCCACCGGAAGAACTGCCACCGCCACCGAGTCCTGTGTCGTCCAGCTATAGCGAATTAAGACGCGCCACTTATCAAACTGATTTCCCATCGGACAATTACCCGAATGACATTTACGGTCCAAGCTCGCAGTCCAGTTCGACATACGAATCTATATACGAACCGATTAATCCTCGACCGCCGTCTCAGTTGTCTTGCAATTATTCTATGTACTCCGGCTATGGATCCGCCACGTCCACTCAGCCCCAGGGAAAAGTGTCTCCGGTCAAGGAGGTACACGTTCGAATTAGTTTTGAGCGTAATCGATCGTCTTCGGTGCCAAGTGTACCACGTGTTCTAAGCTTACAACAGTGATATTCTTCTTTGAAGGTGGACGTCCTCACTGATCTGTTGGTTCAAGGAATGGAGGACAACGCCGAGGACGGCGACATATATGGAATTTGCGCGCAATGCGGTCGTAAAGTCGAGGGCGAGGGCAACGGTTGCTCCGCAATGGATAAGGTCTTCCACATCGATTGTTTCTGCTGTTACGTTTGCAAAGTGAATCTCCAGGGCAAACCGTTCTACTCGTTGGAAAGCAAACCATACTGCGAGGAAGATTACTTGAACACTTTGGAGAAATGCTGCGTATGCACTAGGCCGATACTCGATCGAATATTGCGAGCCACAGGAAAACCTTATCATCCGTCCTGCTTCACGTGTGTAGTTTGCGGTCAGAGTTTGGACGGTATACCGTTTACAGTGGACGCTACAAATCAGATTCACTGTATACAATGTTTTCACAAGTAAATAATATTTCTTATAACATAAGATCGCGGACGAAGCGGTAAAACTATAGACATATAAAGATAGACTGCTCGTCCAACTCGAAGAGCTGTCCTCAAAGTTAGAGTCTAACGTGTCTCACTATTTTTTTCCGTATCTGTTACAGAAAGTTCGCGCCACGTTGTTGCGTATGCAAGCTACCAATCATGCCAGAACCAGGACAAGATGAAACTGTACGGGTAGTGGCTCTCGACCGTAGCTTTCATATACAGTGTTACAAATGCGAGGATTGCGGTTTGGTACTCTCCTCGGACTCAGAGGGTCGCGGTTGCTATCCTTTAGATGACCACGTGTTGTGCAAAAGTTGCAACGCTACTCGCGTTCAAACGCTAACGTCGCACATGACGACGGAATTGTGAAGCGTGTAAAACACGCGTGATAACTATCGAGGACTCTACTGCTCGAGCCATATACACATACATCTGCGAAGTTCCTTATCCCTCGTTGATAGGGAAACATTGCCAATTTGCGCGTTGACTTTTTATACGTTTTTTGTTTTTCAAGAATTTTCTAATCGAAGCCATTTTGTATTCCCCATACTTTTTGCACCGAACGCGTACACAAAAATTTTCGTAGGCTATTCGTATTTGTTGGAAATGTACCCTCGCGAGCAAACTCTGCTTTTAGTAGGGGAAAAAGTAACGTAACGTAAAGGCCTCCATCGCTTGATGAATTTATTTTAAGTACAGAAATAAATGTTAAATCGACTGTTAATTTGGCATACATTTCGGTAACTCCCACGATCAAGTGGTAAGAGGCACTTCTCTTATGCCACTTTTTCCCCTAACGGAAGCAGAGTTTGCTCGTGAGTTTACGTATTTTATATACGAATCGATTAAACTCGCGAGTGGTCAGTTTATGTACACACTCGTCTCAGACTCGAGTTAACGCCCCCATCCCTCATTTCCTTCACACTGCCATGTTAAGGAATTCCAAAATTTTACATCGGTACTGTACACAAGGAGAACGTGTACTTTTTTTACAGATATATTTTCTCGAGACAAGTGTGACGCGATGATTAGTAATTATGATAATCAATGTGATCTTAGTAAAATATTGCATACACCGTTAGAACAAAGTATTCGATATCTAGTATTAAAATGAGACCCTCCCCCCTTCGATTTTAATGTGAAATTAATATTCACGATAATGGTACGAATTAGAGAAATAGTGCCATTTTATACATCCGATTTTATCATCGTACAACTGTATCGGACCTGTTATGTATTTAGATTGCCGCGTTTACGGTGAATCATGTGATACGGTAGAATTAATACGATGTATTAGTGCAAATACCTTAGATCGATAGTTCTATAGCCTGTGTTTAGCAAACGGAAGGACTAAACAACTGATAATAGAATATGTAATTGTGAAACATATATATATATATTAGTGGAATGATACTGAATCAATAAAAATATATTCAGTCTACTCAAAGGGGACGTACGTTGTTGTTCGTTTGAAATCTCTCACCGGCATGTATGTTCTCTGCTTTCTCGAAAGGAACACGAAAAAGAAAACGTGTGGAACGGAATTGAACGAAGAAAGGCATAAATTCAGAAATACAGTGTGCGTGTATTGGAGCATCGTATATTTTATATCTTTAATGAGATTTTATTATTATTATTATTATTATTATTATTATTATTATTATTATATATTTGCAGGAGAGATTCACACTTATCTTTTACTCTACGCCTTTTTTTGCTATGTCATTCTCCATCTATATATATATATATATATATATGACGTTCATGCACGGATGACTTCTTTATTTTCTTTTTTAAATGTATGCATCTTTTATATGTAATATATTTGTTTTTATTATCATTGAGTACTTGGATAGTTTTTTTTTGTCGTACAACCTACGTGTGTCATTTTGTGTGTGTATAATTTATGTTTTTCGTTTCTTTTTCTCTCCTTAACACATCGATTTCAGTGTTTCCGAGAGGTGTGCTTTTTCCAGATTGAAGAGTGCGTATGTCCGCCTCCTCTTTGTCGAGCGCGTCCGAGAGAGAGAGAGAGAGAACAAAATCAAAGAAAAAAGGAAAATTAAAGAATCGTTTATTCGATGGGCGCAAAATTCTACCCTGATTTAGGCCATTGCGTGTTATCACTCGGGTAAGTTGTATGTACCACCCTTGGAGCATCGAGGATTTCGAGAAGAAAACGAATCAACACGAGGAGGAATCGGGTTGTAATTGTTCTCTCGGTGGGGGAACAACAAAGGTACTCGACAACGATATATATTACATATCCTCGAGGATTTCAGAGCTGCGAGGCGAGGACAATCCACAATCATAAAAAAAGCAGACCTCTTACACCGTGTGTGTGTGTGTGTGTACAATATACATCAATAATATTTCTATATTCAACTACGCATTCCCGCTAATAATCTATCTTAAGACTCCCTTTTACAAGTATAATATACTTTTCTCGAAGTATATATATATGTATGTATGTATATATATATATATATATTATATTTTATATCGTATCAGCACCATTCTACGTTGAATTCAGTACATGGATGATAAACGCAATCGAAGGACAAAAGAAACCGATTTTTAAGTGATTCATTTCTAACGCGTACGTTCGTTTAAACTTCGTCCCTGGCCAGGTACTAAACTAAACATAGAATCGCGCTATCCCCCGCGCAATTATTATACTCGTACAGATGTATATGTATACATACGTATATATATGTATATAATATATATATATATATACAGGGTGGTCCAATAAGAATTAGCACTCGAATATGTCCGTTGTTTTCAGAGATACGAAAAAACTTTATTAATAAAAGTTGCTCGGTATACAGGGGGCTATAATATGGGCAGTAATAATATTTTTTCAGCTGTGAAAGTTTCGGAGATTTCAAGGTCACCTTCACTTTTTTAATTGAAATCATCTACTTTTTTATACGTTAATTGATGCAACTCGACAGTCTCTGTAAAGAAGTATTAACCTATGTACGTCGAAAATGTATTAGTTTAAGAGATAGGCCATGGAAAGGCGATTAACTTACGAGCAAGCAAATCGAGACGTGGGGCGTTTAATCTGGAACGTTAGATCCGGAAAGGCGTAGTAAAAAATATTTGCTTGCTCTTGAATGCCGTTACTATTGGAATTATGACGAGAATTGTGGTAAGTCATTGTGTGAAAAATAACATTGCAATGTTAGTCTGTACAAGACGATCGTATGTATATCCGTAACCTATTTCCCAAATGAATTATTTCTCGACGCACATAGGTTAATACTTTTCTATAGGGAATGTCGAGTTCCATCAACTGATGCATAAAAAAATATATAATTTAAAAAAAAAAAAACGAAGATGACCTTGAAATCTTTTAAATTCCTCCACCTGCAAAAAAATTATTACTGCCATATTATAGCCTCCTCTATACGTAACAACTTTTGTTAATAAAGTTTTGTTCATATCTCTAATTCTTACTGGACCATCCTATATATATATATATATATATATATATATTATATTATATATGTAGGTATGTATGTTTTCATTTCTTCATCTTATACGTTAATACGTGCATGAAATATGCGTGTGCGTGTGTGTGTGTTTTGTCCCTGTGTAGTGTCTAAGAAAACAGTATCGTCGACCCACTAACAACAACAACAACAACAACAACAACAACAAACATCACACGAAATGCCTTGCACACACCACGTAAACTGTCTTTCTTTCTTCTCGTGGTATTTATCTGTTTTTTCTCTCTTGAATTAACTTGCACACAAAATAATCACAGCCACCTGTCCAGATTCCCGCGCACACGCACGCACGCACACCCAAATACGCTCGGTCCTCTCTCTCTATCTCTATACACTCTAAATCGCATTCCATATAATATATATATATACCGTCGGTGGTATGCACGCATTCTTACAATTTTTCTTGCGCTTACTATTTATATATATATATGTATGTATGTATGTATGTATATTGCTGAGATATCTTCCGTGTATTATACATAGAAATAGGTGCCGAAACGAGCTGCTCTTTCTTCCGTCCTGGTATCAATATCATCGATCAACACTGTTACAATATAATATCGTCACTCTATCTCTCTCTCTCTGTGTTTTAACGATCACACACAATATGAGAAAAAGGGGTCATGCGACTCGGAATATGCCGTACGCGGTTGATATATATATATATATATGTATAATATATATCTCTTTCTTTATCTCGCTGCTAAATATCGTTTTCCCTATTATTTCCAACGCGTTTTTTTTTATTCAATCCCCTCCCCCTCTCCCATTCCTAACAGCATACTTTCACACACATTTGAAATTCGCTGGGTGCTATAGAGTTACGGGCGCCCGGCGGCGAGCCCGTTAAATCAATAAATAAATAGAGGAACAACATTCTTCAAACAGTATTTTTTTTTCTCTCTTATATAACAACATTAGAGGCTCTTGGAACGTAACGCAACAAATGTTCAACAATACAATTCACGAAAAACAAATAGAAGGCACTCTCTTGCATATTTTTTTTTCTCTCTCTCTCTCTCTCTCTCTCTTTCTTTCTCTGACTATCTCTCTCGTTTATCTCGATAAATTAATTTTCCACTTTTCGTTAACGACTTGACGGGGTTAATCTACGCGTTCTAGGCCTTTTTGTCGTGTCGTCTACAGTATCATCCCCCTCGATAATACACTTTTTCTCTTTATTCCCCCCCCCTCCCCCAACTTCCCTGTATTTCTATCTTTCGTTTCCGTTTCTTCTTTTATATATAACATGTATACATGTATACATAGTTCTTAACGAACCTCTCCCCAATCCCTATTTGTTTCCCTCTCGCCCAATGCTTTTTCCCCCTCTCCTTCTTTCCATCGTCACTTTTCTCCATCTCGTTTTTATTCGTTTTTTTTCCTTTTAAATAGACAATAATAGCTACAATATGCGAGATATGAGATAACAAATTTCTTGTGTTATAGATAAAAGAAATTCACGTTCATAACAATTAGGTAGATTATTATTTAACTTTTTTTTTGTTTATATTATAATAATTTAATTATTGTTATTTGCTTGGAAGCTCACAGCCGACACATTTTTTTTTTGTTTAATTCATTATTACATATACGTTTTTTTTTCTCGTTACCTTTTTTTCCCCCTCTCTATCGGGTATTCTTCGTTTTGTGGGTTATATAGGGCATCGTCTCTTTTTCTTTTTCCTATGTTTTTTCCCCTACGTATCGTGTTTTTTTTTTCTTCGTTTTTCGTTTCGGTATTCATCGGTTAAACGGGTTATTTATTTACGATCATCTTGAATATCATTTTGCGCGGATAATTTGTCGAGAGAAAAGAAAAAGTGTGTGTGTGTGTGTTTGGGGGGTGGTGGTGTGTAAAAATAAATTAGTGAACACTACCGTTTCGAAAAATGCGTGGGAATATATCGTCGTGTTTCACGGTTACTCTAATTAAAAAACTATAAGTACTGTGTGTGTGTGTGTGTGTGTGTGTTGCGTACCCATGTTTCAGGTAGAAAATCAAAAAATGAGAGACGTGGCAGTGCCTTGAGCAACCGTTTTTACGAAAACTCAACTCTACTTATTTGTTTTCCCGCCTCTCGATTTACCCCTTCCGCGTATATTTTTCTTTCGTTACATATCTCCCCCCCTTTTTTTTTGTAGTTTGTATTTTTCGTTTCTCGTCTTTGAACACATAACAAAATCGCTCGTCTTTGTACGATAACAACGTTATTTGTTTTTATTTTTCTCTAATTATTTTTTCTTTCTCTTTCACTCCTCTGTTCTATTAATCGTTTTTTTTCTTCGTCTTCTTTTATATATCCACATCTATCCTACTCTAGCCTTGCTCGTGAGATTCATGGTTTTTCCGAGCCTATCGCGCATTTGAAACGTCGAATACTGCATATAACATAGATTTAAGTAATGTAGCGTACCTATATATGTATATTTATAATTTATTAAGATAGAATCATCCCTTGTGGTCGCGTCAACATTCGACCTTTCCCAAGAGACAAATGCAACCACGCATTCGAATTTCTTCGCATTTTTCTTTTGTTATTCCCGCGGTCGCTCGCTAATATATTTATATTTATAT